AGATTCATGAGCAGTTTGCAACATATTATAACCAGAAAAACCCATTTGCCCCATTTGCAACTCAACTTTAAATGTGTAATTTTTAGACTTGCATACTCATGAAGTTCCTGACACATCTGAAAATATCAAATAATACATAGTATTGATCTAGAATATCGACAACTTCGTTAAAGTCTATACTTTGAAATTGTTTTTTTTTATATTTCTGGTTATTTTTTCAAAATAAATGGGGTAAGGGAGATATGTAAGCTCTAATATAATGACAGGCTTTCCAATATACATTTTTAAATACCTTAAATCAAAGTAGGCAGGCAAAAGAACAGATTTGATGAAGAATCCATCAATCAATCAGCATAAAACTCAAGATATAAGGAACTATATGTTATTGCTAAAAGTGGAAATGAAGAAAAATGCCAAATTTTGTTCTTAAATGTCTAATTTCTCAACACTAGTATACTAATGTTATTTTTTATATTTTCCAGTCATCTTCCCTAATAAATGGGGTAGGGGAGATCTGAAAGCTCTAATATGAACATTGTTTGTCCACTATACATTTTCAGTACCTTAAATGGAATAAGACATGTACAAGAACAGATTTAATCAAAAATGCATCAACCAGTCAGCATAAAACTCAAGATATGAAGATCTATATATTACTGCTGAAAGCAGCATTGATTAAAAAATGCCAAGTTTTGCCCTTAAATATCTCATTTCTAGCCACTTGAATACCAATAAAAGTTCTGAAAAATCTTAAAAACATTAAATAACACATAATATTGATAATAGAATAGCTACAACTTTATGAAAGTCTATAATTTCAAGTCATTTTATTTTTTCATTTTTCTCGTTTATTTTCCATAATTGATGGGGTAGGGGATATCTGAAAGCTCTAATATGAACATTGTTTGTCTACTATACATTTTCTATACCTTAAATGTAAGAAGACATGCACAAGAACAGATTTGGTTGAAAATGAAACAATCAGACAGCATAAAACTCAAGATATGAGGAATTATATATTACTGCTGAAAGCTAAAATGATAAAAAAAATACCAAGTTTTGTCCTTAAATGTCTCAATTTTAGCCACTTGTATATTGAAATAGGTTCTGAGATATCTTAAAAACATTAAACAACACATAATATTGACATAGAATAGCTACAATTTTGTTAAGGTTTATAATTTTAAGTTATTTTATTTTTTCATATTTTTCGGTAATTTTCTATAATAAATGGGGTAGGGGAGATCTGAAAGCTCTCATACGAACATTGGTTGTCCACTATACATTTTCTATACCTTAAATGGAAGAACACATGTACAAGCACAGATTTAATCAAAAATGCAACAACCAGTCAGCATTAAACTCGAGATATAAGGAACTATATGTTAATGCTGAAAGCGAAAATGATTAAAAATGCCAAATTTTGTCCTCAAATGTCACATTTCTAGACACAAGTATACTAATGAAGGTCTTGAAACATCTGAGAAACCTTACATAACACAAAATATTGATATAGAATAGCTACAACTTTGTTTGAGTTGAACATTCTGACTTCTTGTAGTTTCCATTTTTAGCCAATTTTTTCTAAAAAATTCAAGGTATGTCTTCTTCGGACCAGTATTTAGATATGTTCGCAAGAGTTATATGCTTCGCAGGCGAAATATTTTATGCAGGACACCCTAATATATTAAAAAATACACAGAAATTCCATCCAGCTCATAAAGTCATTTTTTCCTTAACGGAGCCTCTTAGAAAATTTTCCACCCCGAGTAAAGCGTGTATCTGATACATCTGAGGATCATATTTCTGAGAAAATGCACATGTTTGCGAACAAATAGTTCCGAAGACAACAGAGTCGGCGATTTAACACCTCTCGCTTTTGTTACTAAAACAGAACTTCAAAAATGGTTAAGACATGCACTTTTATCTCATTCCGTTTACGTAACAATAGTTAATTAAATCGACGATTCTGTTGTCTTCTGAGCTATTTGTTCTCAAACATGTTCATTTTCCTAGATATATGATACTGACACACTTTTGTGATGAAAATGTCGTTTTGAATTCTGCCTACAACGTTTGAAATAAGGAAAAACGAAAAATCGCACCTCCGAGATTCCGACACTATGTTATCGAAACGAAACGTAATCGTTATATAGTGGATCACCAGTGACTGTATATTTTATTAAATGTATAACTAGTGTGATATGCAACATATATTTTCTGTTTATTCAATTACAAAGGGCACAAAACTAAAATATTTAGAAAGTCAATAATGACAAGGCTGCATTAATTTCATCGGCGTCTTTTTGGAAACATGCCTTTAACTTAAAGAAATCCTAAACCCCTGTAAATATGTCAACTTCCGACCTGGCCGATGAACAATGAACTTCCCCGTCTATTCAAACTCGCGGAATGTTTCTGCTTAAAGGGTAGCACAAAAAATTGACTTCTCACTTTGGAAAACTCCCAATTATAATGGAATGACATTCATTGTGTTTATTTATTTATTTATTTGGCTTCTACGCTTTTGTAACAGCGGCACGACAATTATACGTGTGCGTCCATTTGGACATTTACATAATGACATTCATACTAAAACATACTTAAAACCAGTTAAGGTTATAATAAAAATTGTTTTAGTGCAGAAAAAATGGTTTAGAGAAAAAAACAATGTAAAAGTTCTCATAGATTCCAATGGTACTAAAAATTACCGCAAGTGAACCAACATAAATGATTTATCGTTTGTACTCGTGGTGAATATTTATTTATTTATTTATTCTATTTATTTATTTATTTATTCTATTTATTTATTTACTTATTTATTTAGAAGTACACTTTTTAACATTAAGGTGCATCTAATAGAAAGGTATTCGCAATGACATGTTGGTTAAAGCAGCACAATTTATCAAACTAAAATTAGTCTAAGCTAAAAAGAATAAAAACATTGGAATGCTAATATTATTTAAAAAGCTTTTTACAAAAGAGTCGAATAAAACGCCATATTCATGCCTCATCCCCTAAAACTAGTAACCATTTCACTTGTGTGTCAGTTCGGGCATTTAAGAATATACCTGTTAAATGTGTTTTTCAAGTATTTTATATAAGTTGAACCTTTATATGGAGTCATCAGATATGTGAAACAACATTAACATACTGTACAGTACCTACATAGAGCATCAGTCACACGTTAGAGAAATAAATTTTTCGTCAAAAAGGTAATCTTCTGATTTTGATATTTCTGGCATGATTTTCATTTCCAAATTTTAAGAACAATTCTTTCATTGTAGATGTTATTCCAAAATCAAAAGTTTGCATTTTGTGTCACCCTGTACAATTACATTATTAATATGTGAAGGTCATTTATCAAATCGTTTACTCCCCAAACCTAGGGCAAGTTTATAATGCTCAAACAGGAAGAGATAAGATAAACATCAACGATTTAATTAAATAATTAGTATATCTAAATATGAATTATTTGATACTTATATTTTGTTTGGATTTCGCCCTCGTAAGCGTAACACCAAAAAAGCCGACTCATACAGATTCAGGTAAATATATTTATCTCGTTATTCTAATAAGCTGCTCAACATTTCACACTTCTGAAAAGGAGCCAGGAAAGTTGTTTAATTAAAGAGGTACTTGGTGGAATATTTTGGTACCATTGTCAAGGTTACAACTGGGCACTGAGATTGATGCTTTGCCAACTTAAGAAAATTCATTAAAAGTATGTTATTTTGGTGATTTTATATCTTTTAGGTGATTTGGAAGGAAATAGTTTATGATCCAGTCCATAATACACTGGAATGCAGGGCTTAAAGGGGAAAACCGGGTATAAAAGGAAGATAGAACAGCCAATTACAGTCAATTATGTCAGTTGAAAATGTTTGAATCACTGAAACCAGTAAATTTATTTTGATTTTGCCAATATCATGAATTCTAGGAAGTATCAAAGACCCAAAATTGCTACAGTCATGTATGAAACCATAATGAATACAAATATGAAATCATATTCAAGTATTATTCAGTATATTTCAAGCAAACTTGAAAATAAATATTTTAAAGGTCTCATTAAATATGAGCAGTTGGATGTGGATTTAATTTCAAATTGACCAATAGCCTGCAATGCTCTCGGGTCAAAGGTTAAAACATGTAAACATAGCAGCAAAATGCCTTGTGCTTGTGTTTATAAATGACCCTACTACTGCTAAGCCACATCCTCTGCTGACAGCTGATTGGCTGTTTGCTATCTAGTAGGCATTTCACATGTTACATAAGACACCCGGGTGTAGCAATTAACTGAAGTTTTCCTCTTTAAATCCTTAAATATTGAGGATTTGTTTCATAGATTTTGGTAATGCCAACCGGTGTTTTAGAGTTATCATTCAGAGAAATCGATCACTTTTATATGCATGATTTATGAATCTGACATATAAACAAACAATATTCCCTCCATTTGTTGCAACGCTTATAATATTAAATTCATATTTTCTATTATTTTGAAAAAAAGTGTTATGTCAAATCCACTTTCTCAATTTTCTTTTTGAAAACAGAGGATGATGTCTATTTTATTATGCTTAGCGCTTTATATTTCACGTTACACCAAACGTGTATCGTGTTTTAAACTCAAAGACACTGACTGCATCTGTGATTTCATTTGCATTGTAAAGTTAGTGATGTAAAAAGCATTCAATTATACCAAATGTCTGTTATTTCGTACAGAACCTCGTGGGCAGCTTGAGAGAGCAATGTACAACATGAGCCAATTTTAAATTGAAAAAATGTCCGTTTCACCCTAGGTACTTTTTAGTTGTTCAAATGCTTTTCAATTATCCGCTCGTGGGATTTCTTCATGTGGAGTTGACACAGTTATAAGATAACATGGTCGAGGATCGGTTATTTCTTTCTGTATGAAATCATGCACTTTACCTTGTAGATACATCGTCTCGGCCCTTATGCTGGGCGTGCAGCAATGTGCGGGACGAGTACGAGTGTGTCATGACCGGGCATTGGGACACATGCAATGCAAACTCGGTAAATGAGACATCTATTTTTCTATAAAAACGTACATCACCACATCGTCAATGTGGATTCCTTTCAAAATGAGATTTCATTGAGATTTTTAAAAGTTGAAGGTCATAGACTTATTATGATTTACCAATTAAAATTTAAATCGAACCGATATTTACGTTTAACGAACGATTGATTGGTTTAATTGTCTTCCTCGATCAATCAGAAATATACAGCATTTTAACAATGACGCCTTTACAGAGGCGTATTTAGAAAAGCAATGTTATGATATTCAAACAAACATAGCCCCTTGAAGCATGTTTTGTTAATTCATTTCAGCCTCTGTGCCTGACAGAATTTAAATACTCCAACTCAAAAGGTTATGCAGAGATATCAAAATTCTGCAAAAACGACCCGGTGAGTATTTGTTTCCTAGGATCACGGTTTCATAACATTACACTAGAAAATCTAGAATAATTGTGTTGTCGCCTTAGAAATACGTGTTAATTAAACGTAATTAAACGCGAATTGATTAACGTATCTTTTTTACCCTCCATTTGATCAATTTTAATATAATAGCCCATATCAAGAGATAATTGAGTGAAATATATCAAAGAGACGCAATTGTACTCACAGATATAGGGTAATGAAAAAGATTGATTTTCTTTAAGGGAAATTATTATTTCACCTCATGTGTGGGTTTTAAATCATTATGTGCTCAAAGTACGTATACTGTTTTTTCGAAAATGTGTAGGTAGTTAATTTTTGATCAATTGTTGTTGGGAGCGGATAGCGAGAGTGTGTCACATCTTTATACCCTGCGACTTTGTTGTTTCCATTGGTATATTAGTTGTTCACACATAATTTGTTCCCCTACTATGTAGAGAAATTATATATTCCCCTCCTGTGTCTGGTGTAGGCATACACCAACCTCCATAACGTGATATGCGCCGACCTACATGTTCACTCTAATGTAAAATTGTTTTGGCCTCTTGTGAGAAATACGCCCGCTTTCAAACGTTGTTCCCCTCCTATGTAGGCATTCATCATCCAATAAATATTATCCACCTCTATGCATGTATGCCAAACCTTCACATTTTGCACCCATTTCATGTAGGCATGCACCAACTTGCATAACTTGAGTCCAGCTGCCTGCGCTAATGGGGAAGTGAACAAAGGACAGAGCTGCTCGTATTGCTGTTACACGCCTGCCTGTAACTGGGGGATACCAATCCAGTTTCACTCTCAATATACAGGTATTATGGCCTATTTGTAATCGCGGGAAGAGATCTTGACATTGCACAAATATGTACAAGATGCAAATATATTCCAAATAAATAAATATGTAGGTTTTGGGAATCAATGCAACAGTGATTATTGTCTTCCATGTACACTCCCCTCCATAAGTTTGGCAACCTTTTTCCTCCATTGAACTACGTGTTAAAGCCTCTTTACGTTTGAATTTTTATTTACTTAACCGGCAATGAAATAACTTACAATATTGATGGAAACGTAACTTGACTTTATTTCCAATACCTCCAAATTAACTCAATTTTTTCCTCAATTACAATAGGTCGGAAATTGATGATAAATTTGATGAATTTTTGAAAATCGTCATTCCCATGTAATCCAATGGGAAATGGAGGGTTCGGGGCAAATCAGGATATCGTTTCAGTAAAAAGATCCAGCAAAAAATATTTTTATATAGAAAATTGAATTGTCTAACTTTTTTGAACACTAAGTGTTTAGTTTATTTGATGAATATTAAAGTAACAGCGCTTCAAAGTCATTTTTGAAAATAATTTTTCGCCTTCTGTGTTATTTCAATGGGAGAGGTTTTTTGAAAAACAATTTTGACTTTAAAGCCCTATAGCTTTGTTGAACCTGAAGAAACATATAAATTTTTTGTTAAATAAAGTTAGCAAATTCAATTACCTGCCTAACTTGTATTTTTGCAAGGACTCGGATGGATGGATATTCTGTCATATGACTTGCGGCAAACCTACCATTTCCCATTGGTTAACATGGGAATATGGATTTTCAAAAATTCATCAAATTCATCATCAATTTTCGACCAACTGTAATTGACGAAAAAAATGGAGAAAATTTTGAGGTATTGAAATTAAAGTCAAATTACGTTTCCATCAATAGTATAAGTATTTTCATCGTAGGTTAAGTAAATAAAAATTCAAAGGTAAAGAGGCTTTAACACGTAGTTCAATGGGGAAAAAAGGTTGCCAAACTTATGGAGGGGAGTGTACCATACCCATACATTTATTTACACGGTTGTATAAGTCAGTTTACTAGTGATACAAAGTTCGGGCTAGATATCAAAATCAACTGGTTTACAGATGATATTCTATTTTTTATGAGTATGATGATTTTTATCCACGAATGGATATTGATATGTACACGAACGATAGTTACATTTTTACATTTTACATTTTAAGTGTTTTTGAAGATGCCGATGTGTAATTTTGAATTTAATTCTGTGTCCAAAAATAGGCAATGACTTAGTTATGGAATGCATACAATGATTCTCGCAAATGTCACTTTGTCAACAATCTAAACTTCAATTTTGTTAATATTTCAAAACTCCTTAATCATTTTTAGGACTTGCAGAATTTGCAACAGCGCCAACTCCGCCTTTTCATGTAGAAAATTTGGATTATGAAACTTCGGACTCAACCAGTTCTACAATGGCAGCGCCGACAACAACGATGACGGTAGCGCCAACAACAACGACGGCAGCACCAACAACAACGGTGGCAGCTCCAACGACAACGATGGCAGCAGTGCCAACAACAACGACGGCAGCTCTAACAACAACGACGGCAGCACCAACAACAACGACGGCAGCTCTAACAACAACGAGGTTGGCGGCAACAACGATGGCAGCGCCAGAGACAACAAAGACGGCAGCACCAACGACAACGACGACAGCAGTGCCATTAACAACGACAACTACCACTGCAGCGCCAAGAGCAACGACTGCAGCGCAAACTCAAACGCCGACGGCTGCGCCAACAAAATCGACGACGGCAGCGCCAACAACAACGACGGCGGCGCCAACAACAACGTTGGCAGCACAAACGACAACGACAGCAGTGCCAACTGCAACGACAGAAGCTCCACCTTCAGCTCCAATGACAACAACGGCAGTATCATCAACAACAACAACAACGGCAGCATCCGCTGGTACAGCAGGGAGAACAGACGCTGAAATAGTAGGTGGCTCAGACTCTGATACAACAGATAGTTCAGACTATAGAACAGTAGATGGTTCAGTCTCTGGTACAACAGTTGGCCCAGACTCTAGTACAGCAGGCAGCTCAGACGCTGGAACAGTAGGTGGTTCAAACTCTGGTACAGCAGGTAGCTCAGGCTCTGTTACAGCAGATGGCACAGACTCTGTTACAGCAGATGACTCAGATTCTGGTGCATTAGTTGGCTCTGGTAAAGTAGGCGGAACAGATGCCGGAACAGGAGGTGCCTCGAACACAGGAACAGTTAATAGCTCATACACTGGAACAGTAGGCGACTCAGACTCTGGAATTGGAACAGACTCTGGAAAAGTAGATAGTTCAGACTCTGATATTGCAATTGGCTCAGACTCTGCTGCAGCAAATGGCTCAAGCGCTGGAACAGAAGTTGTTTCAGACTCTGCTACAGTAAATAGCTCAAGCGCTGGAAAAGAAGTTGGTTCAGACTCTGCTACAGCAAATGGCTCAAGCGCTGGAACAGAAGTTGGTTCAGACTCTGCTACAGTAAATAGCTCAAGCGCTGGAAAAGAAGTTGGTTCAGACTCTGCTACAGCAAATAGCTCAAGCGCTGGAACAGAAGTTGGTTCAGACTCTGCTACAGCAAATAGCTCAAGTGTTGGAACAGAAGTTGGTTCAGACTCTGCTACAGCAAATGGCTCAAGCGCTGGAACAGAAGTTGGTTCAGACTCTGCTACAGCAAATAGCTCAAGCGTTGGAACAGAGGTTGGTTCAAACTCTGCTACAGTAAATAGCTCAAGCCCTGGAACAGAAGTTGGTTCAGACTCTGCTACAGTAAATAGCTCAAGCGCTGGAACAGAAGTTTGTTCAGACTCTGCTACAGTAAATAGCTCAAGCGCTGGAACAGAAGTTTGTTCAGACTCTGCTACAGTAAATAGCTCAAGCGTTGGAACAGAAGTTTGTTCAGACTCTGCTACAGTAAATAGCTCAAGCGCTGGAACAGAAGTTGATTCAGACTCTGCTACAGCAAATAGCTCAAGCCCTGGAACAGAAGTTGGTTCAGACTCTGCTACAGCAAATAGCTCAAGCGTTGGAACAGAAGTTGGTTCAGACTCTGCTACAGCAAATAGCTCAAACGCTGGAACAGAAGTTGGTTCAGACTCTGCTACAGCAAATAGCTCAAACACTGGAACAGAAGTTGGTTCAGACTCTGCTACAGCAAATAGCTCAAGCGTTGGAACAGAAGTTGGTTCAGACTCTGCTACAGCAAATAGCTCAAGCGCTGGAACTGAAGTTGGTTCAGACTCTGGTACAACAGGTGGCTCAAATTCTGGTACAGCAGATGGCTCGGACTCTGGTACAGTAGGTGATTTGGACACTGGAACAGTAGGTGGCGTGGATGCTGAAACAGTAAATTCCACAGTAGCGGATAGAGTAGATGGTTCTGAGACCACTAACCACATTGTCGTTACAAATAGCCAAAACACAATTGATAACAGAAGTATGTCTGCTGCCGAGCCACAAAAGGCATCAGTAGAGGACGAAGCAAAAAAGCAACAAACGATCACAGCTGCAACAGCAACGCCTGCTCTGTTCCTCATTGCAGGGATTGGTATTGTAGCTACTGTGATGCTAAAGGTGCGTTCATTCAAAACAACTACCTTAGTTCGGTTCATTAAATACGAACAATTTCAGTTCACGCAATACGAATGAGATTATTTTAATCAATACGAATAAGTTTAGTTCAATCAATATGAAAAAGTTTAGTTGAATTAATACGGATAAGTTTAGACCAATGAATGCGAATTTTAGTTAAATTATGTCGTTAAAGTAAATGATATCCATAAATAATTAAAGTGTGACTAGAAAGATATCTGTTTCATTTCAGATGGGAAAATGTGTCAAGCCGTTTGGTGCCGGTAAGAAAAAAAAGAACGATGTTAATGAGGACTCTGACTGCGATGATGATGAAGACGATGACTTCGAAAAAGATCTTAGCCATATTGATTCAGATCAGTTCAGTCGTCCTGTAACAGCCTCCACCACTGTATCGAGTGTATATGACGGTAATGCATCCTTAGAAGATATTAGAGCAGACACGCCATCTAGCGTCATCATAGACATTTGTTCCAGGCCATCTAGTGCTAGTAGTGGCTACCTCAGTCGACCCGTCACACCTATGACTGACATCTGTGTATAGAACTTTAAGTTGAAGACGATGCGACTATAACTGTAAATATTGATCCGGTAGCTTTTTATACTTAAAACTTTTATACTTTAGTATACTCGAAATAAGTGTTGTTGGTTGAAAAATGGACTACACTCATCGATGAATCAAGAGCAGGACATCTTATACATTTATAAGGGATTGAATTCCCTATTAGACATTGTATAGTTGTTGAGTGATTCAATGCACGTGATGTATAATTGTACAAATATAATGTTCAAACAAAACAACATAAATCAAGACAGCCCATTTTGACGTTTTATGGACGAACCAGCATCGTATTTGAGAACGTTCTAACCCGACCACAGCCCACTGGCATGTAGCGATTATAGCGGTCCTGTCTTGGCTTATTGAATTGTTACGAAGTTACGTATGCGGTGCGGAAGTTAGAGAGCAAATGACCATCATTTCAATGTAATAGTTTATGCAGGAAAATTGAGATTAGGCCATTGGAGTATTTGTTTCATGCATTTGTAAAACGTTGCCCACTCATAGGTCATACTTATCGTTAAACCAATAACTCAAATATATGCCCTTGTACACCGATCACCTGTTGAAATTAATACAGGCCGATTTCAACAAATGTAAACGGCGATATATTTAAAATCGTATTCAAGCATGACCACGTCCCAACTTCTTTTGTTTTCTTTACAACTAAGCTATGACTGCAGTCTATTCAGTGTTGCGTATCGAACCTTGTTTATTATAAAAATAGTGCAACAACAAGCAGAATTCACACATTTACCTTATACTTATTCTCAACTGAAGACATTGAATTTATCTCTTAGGTTTTACATTATAAATATCTTAACATGCAGAATACGAAAATAGAGGCTTAGGCCCAACTTTGTATGAATTTTATGAGAATAATCTGATTTTAGAGAAATGAAAAGAAAAATGTCCACACCCTACACAAAATATTTATGGTTCCCCGGGAATACGTATGTGCTGCTTGTATATTAGAATCGTATTCCAGTTACAGAAAGAAGTACATATCATGCTAAACTATATACAACAGTTATGCACTTGGAGGTTTTGGATAAAATAACCATAACCCCTATATATTGGCCAAGGGATAATCCCAATCTCCTGACTATAGGATATGTTTATCCCATACCAATCTTGGTCATCTGGTTCACATTGTTAAATCGTGGAAATATTTTAGAATATTCATGTCCAGTTTTGTTTTCTTGGCCGTGGGCGGATTTTCATGTTCTCTCAAATATTCCCATATTTATTTTCTCGAATTTTTTATTGATAAAGTGGATGCTCTTTCCCTTTTTTTAACTACAGACCCTGATTGTCTGTGTTTTCTCCATTGCCGTTTACAGTCATTCCGCGAACGTTACAAATTATGAACAAATATGCAAGCGGCGATTATGACGTAGCGGGCAGATATACTATATCTGCCCGCTTGGAGCGGGACGTAAAGCTTTATCCCATGGTTGCAAGGAGGATATAGATCGAATATCACATGATGATATATTTGATATGTGGATCAAGATATCATATTTTAGCAAACAATTTACAAACCATCGAATATCACTTTTAAACTATCGAATATCACATCTTAAATAGAGGATATCCAGTGATTTATGAGTGATATGATTTTTATCCACGAATGGATATGATATCTGCACGAGTGAGCGTAGCGAGAGAGTGCAGATATCAACATCCATGAGTGGATTAAAATCATATCACGAGTAAATCATAGGATGTTCTTTATATTCCATAGTTAAAGTCATCATCAGAATCTTCGGGAATTAAGTGATTTAAAACGAATTTTCCAAACGATACGGCGATATTGACACTTAGCCTCGTTTTGAGTCTGAAGTAGCAAAAATCCATAAACCATGGCATACGGCGCCGCATGTCATGGCTAAAACACCGTATGCTATGGTTAAGTGAAAATTTGCCAAAAATATCATATTTTACCACTGATTTCAAAATACCGTTTTTATTTTGACATGTTATCCTATGGATATCATGCTAACTATGGAATAATATAGGAATATCCTATGGCTCTGAAAAAATATCACTTATATCCATGAGTGGATATTGATATCTTCGCGAGTGAGCACAGCGAATGAGTGAAGATACTGATATCCATGAGTGGATATAAGTGATATTTTTGAAAAACTATAGGATTGTCCGTTTATCCCATTGGGAATTATTATCCAGCGAACATTGAATAGTCAGATAAATTGCAATGGAAATTCCATTTCGTCTGACATTTTGATTGCGATAATTCAACGAACGTCATATACGTGACGTAACAGAGTGGTTTGTATTTAATGCGAACGCCGTAAAAACAAGATCCCAAAAAATAAAAATATATAATAAATATATAATTCAATTCAATTTATTTCATAATTCTTATATAATATACACTATAAAAACAAGCCGCTAGACACCCTAGTGGGTATATGTTGCGGTCTAACAGAAATCATTAAAATGACATCTAGACTACATATAAAAGAAAATACTTATATTATGTTACATGTAGGTATATAAAAATGGTATTAACAATTAATCTAAGGATGTACAATGTAAAAATGTTACAAAAATCAGGTATCAGTATAAAACCAACAGTATAGTATGATATTGGTATTATACATTATCGATAGATGAGTAGTTTTGTATATGAAGATTTGAAAATATTTAGAGTGGAGCATTTTTTAATATCATGGGGTAGAGCATTCCAAAGATTAGGACCTAGATAGCGAAGGGAAAGTTTAGAGCATTTAGGGATATGAAAATAATGCAATTGTCTTGTGTAATGATGATGAATATTAATGTTGATATCAAACAAGTCTTGAAATAGATTTTTTGGAAGACTGGGGTGCTTATTAAAGATTTAGTACATGAACTGACCAGTACAATATCTGTTGACATGAAAAATATTTAATATGTTAAGATCTTTAAATAAGGGAGCGGAGTGAGAAAGTCTATCCTTATTTAAAGCTAGCCTTAAGAATTGTTTCTGCAGTTTATGTAGACGATCATAAAATGATTTAAATGTGTTACCCCAGATTATGTTGCAATAATTTAATTAAGAGTGTATCAATGAGTAGTAAATTGTTTTGAAACTGTCTATTTGAAGTAGATGTTTAATGTGATAAAGAGAACCAATGACGCGAGAAATCTTTGTTTCAATAGATTTTATGTGCTCTTTAAATTTCAAGTTTTTATCAATAATAATTCCAAGAAAGTCAATTTTATCCCGGAAATTTATGTTCTCATTGCGTATTTTGAGATTCAGATTTGTTTGATTTTTTGGGGTCCAAATAGAATAGCATTGGTTTTGCCAATATTAAGTAAAAGTTTGTTTGCTTTTATCCAGTCATCTATTGAATTCAAGTTTGCATTAGTTCTAGTCATAAGTTCATTTAAATCATAATCACTATCAAGAAGATTGGTGTCATCAGCAAACATAATAAATTTTAGATTAGGGTCAACAAAAGGCAGATCATTTATGTAAAGAATAAATAATAGTGGTCCAAGTACCGAGCCCTGCGGAACACCACAGTTTAGAGATGATTGTTTAGATTCATAATTGTTAATGGTGACATATTGTTTGCGGTCTTTTAAATAACTTTCAAACCAGGACTTAGCTATTCCTCTGATGCCATAATATTCAAGTTTTTGTATCAAAATGTCATGATTAATTGTGTCAAAGGCCTTGGAAAAATCTAATGTTATGCCAATGCTCGTTTTCCCCAAATCAGTTGATTTTCGAATTTGTTCAATGAAATATAAAATGGCCATGTAGGTAGAGTTGAATTTCTGATATCCAAATTGATAAGTAAAAAATAATTTCAAAACGTTCTAAAAAACCAGTGAGTTTGGCGTGCATGAGCTTTTCTAACAATTTAGAAAATACCGATAAAACTGAAATTGGTCTTTAGTTCGAAGGATTTGTAGTGACTCCTTTTTTAAATACAGGTGTTACTTTGGCCAATTTGAGGGCGTCTGGGAAAATACCAGATTTAAAAGATAAGTTAAATATATACAAGAGTGGATCAATTAAAAACTGTATTACAGACTTAATAAGTGATGGTAGAATCCCATCAGGTCCAGGCGAGGAAGATTTTAGAAGACATATTTCTAATTCAAGCTCAGTTTTTGAGGTCTTTTTGAGATACATAGATGATTGAACTTTTTGAGCTCTTGCTAGGTATTCATAAACAATCGTTTTGCTGAATTAATAAAAAAAATTGAAAAAAATCAAAACCATCGAATATCACTTTTGAAACCATCGAATATCACTTTTGAAACCATCGAATATCACCTTTCAAAGAGTGATATTCGATGGTTTCAAAAGTGATATTCGATGATTTGGGAATTGTTTGCTAAAATATGATATCTTCATCCACGTATCAATTATATCTTCACGTGATATTCGATCTATATCCTTGTAACCATGGGATAAATAAGGGTTATGTACTGGGAGGTTTTGGATATGGGGTTTTTCCAGAGGGAGATATGCATATCTACCTGAGGGACCGTAGGGACAGAAAGTAGATGTGCATATCTCACGAGGGATGAACCCAATATCCAAACCTACCGTACATAACTGCTTTATCCTATACCAAGTAGAGTTTTCAGTAGTACAAGGTGTAAAAAATAAACAAATCATTCATATGCAAAGTCATTTTATTGCATTTCCACTTTTTTGGATGCGGGAAGATACGCCCCGAAGCGGGAAGATATGCACCGAAGCGGGAGATATGACGGGAGATATGAAGGTTCTTGATATGGAAACCTCAAAATCAGGATACGGGATATATCTTACCAACTTATCTCCCTAAAACCCTACTTGGCATAGGATAAATCAAGATAATTTCTACTCGCATCTAGTCTATTCCACATGTTTGGGAAAAGTGTACAGGAAAATCTCCATGTTCAATTGATGTATGATCAACCCTCATAGGGGTCAATCCAGTTGTCCGAAACCCAGTTGTCCGAAACTCAATTCTCCGAAACCCAGTTGTCCGAAACCAAGTTCTCCGAAAATTAGGGGATCTTATCAAAAAATACAATTTCTTAAAACGAATCTTGTCGCAACCTCTGCGAATCACGACAGCATAACATTTGAATCACATTGACATCATTGCAAAATTAGGCTAAATATGCTAAGTCAAGACGTTAATTAGCCCACGAAAGTTCATGGGTAACTTGAGAACTACAAAATACAACCAAATACTTTTCGAACGTACAATAGCAATATTTCTCACCCAACGTCTTCATAGTTTTAGGAACGTATTTTAAACGCATGATAGCCAAACATATCAAGATACTATATCTGCCTAAATGAAATTATCTAGTGTTGACAACGTTTTGAAATATATTTTATCCAGATCCATCAGAAATTAACTTATCCAATACATTTGTTCATAAGAATTCTTTAATTCTACCTCGTTCCCAATACGTCCTCAGACAGACAAGAAATTGAAGTCACACCCGTTTGTTTGCGTGGCATATTTATACGTATACGCACTTTCTCTGATTATTGTCAAACAAATACATTTCAGGAGAAGAACATAAAAAACAAATGCCTGAAACGAATGCCGAAACATAAATCCCAAGTGATTAAGTTTAGAATGTTTTATTCTTTTACGATTTGATAAGAGACTGAGACCAAGAAATTAAATGCGACGAAATATTTTGACAACGTAATTTGTATACTGTTTTATTCTTAAAGTTCTATGCGATTACTTATTTTATCTGTTTCAAAATGTTTCATTTTATTTTGCCTATATAAAAGAGATTAAAGAAGATAAGATAAACTGTTCCGTAATATATATTATGTTTTAATAACCTTTTTTAGAATCACAATGTAAAATAAATCTCCCGTTCCTGCCATTCTGGTAACGCCATGCAATGGATGCAATTCAAAGTGAGAGAGAGATCTATGAATATCAGAATGCGTCCATGCCATTAATTTGGCCAAATACATGGCATGAAACTGACGTAAGCTTAAGTAAGCTACGCCCCCCCCTTTCTCTGGTAAATTATGACTTTATTTTTCGGAGTAATGGGTTTCGGACAACTGGGTTTCGGGGAATTAAGTTTCGGACAACTGGGTTTCGGACAACTGGGGTGTCAATATATACGAATCGAATGTATTCTCGTGTGCATTACAATATCCCCATTGAAACATTTTTGGTCTGCAATGGACGTATAATGAATTAGAATATGAGGCCGTGTTATCATTCTAATGTAAAGTCATGGTATTTACTGTGGTATTGGGTTGCAAGTTAATATCAGATTCAATGCAAATTAATCATCTAATATCAGATGCGCGATCAGTCCAATAATCTAATTTCAGGTCATCAGTTCGATATCTAGCACTTGTTCTAACGACACGGTATTACTAAACTATCATATTATAAATACACGTGTATAAAACAATCAAACTGGTACACGATATAAGCACGACTGCTCTTTCAATTGAGTATAAATGTTGATAAACTTACCCGGAAGCCAAGACATACACGTTTAGACGATGCTATTTTCAGTTCAGTGTAAGAGTAAATGCCCGGATATCGAGGCTTTTTCGTGTAAAGTTTTAACCAAGCATCTAAAATCGGCTTATATTGCGTGTAGAATTTATCGATATCAGGGCCGCTACATGCCAGTGACAGCCCGTTTTACGATTTTTAAGAGGTTTTGGAACGGTTTGAGAACTAGTTCAGTGTGAGTTGGGTGTTGATAATGACGTTATGTACGCAAATACTGTCCCGGTTATCTTGATCCATATACTTGTCCTTGGTAATTGTTTCATTTAAAGTAAATTATATAATATACCAGGTCGTTGAATAAGTTCGCGGAAAACTGCTCTCCTTTCAATTAAATCCCACTTGGGTAGCAACACAATAGAATTTGCTGTGGTTTATTTTTAAGAATGTATGGTTTTATCAAAAGGAAAGTGCATTATTTTTCTATTGTTTTTAAAGAATGTACACTTGGCAAGCTATCAAAAACAAGTGAGACATAAATGACCATTGACAGTTTTTGATAGTTTTCATTCCCTAAAAACAATATACAAAAATACATGTACCCTTCTCTCGTTACTGTGCATTCTTTAGAATAAAACAATTTATCAATTTTTGTTGCTATCTACATCATTGATCTTATCTAATGTCTTGGTCACATAGGCTCCGATTTTCACTACGGCGCCCGGCCGATTGAGTATTTTGTTCAAAATTGAATACAATATTGAACAAAACACTCAATCGGCCGGGCGCCGGCCGATGGATCGGAGCATATGTGACCCAGGCATTACTTACAAATATTCTGCTGTATTCAAATGCAATGTTCTGGACTGGACAGTCACCTGTAGTGCACTGAAGCTAGACTAATTATAGCCCACTCACTCACTTACATCAACTCACACTCATGAGGTCAATGCAACCAACTCTTTTTGTTGTTACAATTAATTGGCTATATAACTACATGAACAGTCAACTCAAAAGAACTCACTCACTTACATGTATCAAACCACTTACCCCTACATGAACAGTCAACACAAAAGAAATAAAATTTTCCAGATTAGATCATTGACCATTTACCTGCAATATACCATTTACCTGTATAAGAATGTGTGTGATTTAAGTAAGATAAAGCATTCAAATTCGATTTGATAAGAAATAATAACCTCAGGCCTCCGGCCTTCGGTGTATTATTTCTTATAAAATCTCATTCTTATGCTTTATCCAGTACATAATTTTGATATTTTCTCACGAAATTCCTACACAATGTGTAAAAAATAATTTCTAATTGATTCATAAATATCAACATCTCTTATTTGATTGGTCGAAAATAATGGTCACTATGGTAACTTGGTAGGCGGGGCACTTTTTAGGTCACACAATTTACCATTACAGATATCTATCAATATGTGCAAATGAAGGATCCCTATATTTTATTTGTTCTTATTTAGATTACAAACATAATGAGGGAAAATTGATGTTCATAGTTTTCATACACTGGAGACCCGCTCGATTACGCTGGTTACCGAAACGCTTCGTTTTGGTAACAAAATTTCGCAACGTCGAAGGTACGATTTTTCCTTTTTCCTTATTTCACGCGTTGGCAGAATTCCAACGGCGTTTTTTCTCACAAACGCGTATTAGCATCATATGTTTTAGAAAATGTACATATTTTCGAAAAATAGCCCAGAAGACAACAGAATCGTCGATTCAATTCCTCAGTTAAGTTACATAAACGGTTTGGGTTAAAAGTGCAGATCTTAACTGTTTTTCGAAAACCCATTTATGTAACTTAAGAGAGGAATTAAATCGACGATTCTGTTGTCTTCTGAACTATTTGTTCGCAAATATGTACATTTTCTTAAACATATGATACTAGTACACGTTTGTTTTAAAAATGTCGTGTGAATTCTTCCTACAACGTGTGAAATAAGGAAAAATGAAAAATCGTACCTTCGATGTTCCGACATTTTGTTACCAAAACGAACCGTTTCGGTAACCAGCGTAATCGAGTGGATCACCAGTGTTTCATAGACCTTCTGGGATCATGCTAGTCAATGCTGAACCGGAGAACCCGAAAATCAACAAAAAGTATTTTTCCACCATGATATAATGCACCCAGCCACACTGCTAATATTGTGCAGGAAACCATCTTAATCAACTGGCAAAATAGATGGCAAAGCTGCCTCAAGCTCCGTACTCTCCAGATGAGACAATCCTTGATTTTGCTGTTTTCAACAGGATGAAGGATCAACTAAGAGGTGCACAGTATGAAACAATGCAACAACTTTTGACTGTAGTCCAGATTTCACTTAAAAGAAGTTTTGCAGATGGCTTCAGAGTAGTTTCGACAATAAGTTGAACACCGGCGATTGTGCATTAAACACGGGGGAGAATATTTCGAACACCTTATGGGACAATAGTTGTATCTATTATGTAAAGTTATATCATCTACACATAGAAAGTGGAGAAAAGAAATGCATGTGATACACTCATAAACTTGCCTACTATTCTCTTGTTTTTGTATTGAATAATGTGAAGTAAAAGATGCCCCGCCTACCCAAAAGTCAAGTTACCATAGTAACCATTTTTTACCAATCAAATTAGAGATGCTGATATTTAATGGATCTATAACAAGGTGTGTTTTACAAATTTCATGATGAAATATCAAAAATCTTTGAAATGAAAGGATTTTTCAGTGAACTTATTGAACGACTTATAAAGGTTAGATGAAAATTCACACTTTAAAACAAACCATTGTTCATTGTATTTCTATTTGGGTCATTTCTTAAATGTTTGAATATATTTATATATAAAGTGAGTATCTGATAAAATGACAAACTCTTTTGTTTCCCATAAACCTTTTAATGAAGACAATGACATGTTATCTACAATCTAAGAACTTTTCGCTGTATAATACTCCCTTAGATCACAATTTGAAGTTTTAGCCCATTTGAGTTTTTGCAATTATATCTCATTCTTGATCCTTAGAAATTGTGTTTGTGTTCTGGAAATTTGCCCGGATCTAAAGGAGTTGTTTAACATATATTCCACCTTGAATTGCCTAACATAATGGGTATCCTTCTTGTACATGGCAAGTCAATGGACTAGCACAATCAAATGTCATTAAACGAGGTGTGATCGTAAATACGAGTGTAAAGTGTGACGTATAATTTCCGTTTATTTCATTTCAGAGGACACAAAACTAAAATGTTTGCAAAGTCAACAATGTCAAGGCTGCATTAATTACACCAGCGTCTTTTAGATTTCATAGCAACATACATTGACCCCAAGAAATCCTAAACCCCGGTAAATATGTCAACTTCCGGCTGGCCAATGAACAATAATATTCTCCGTCTATACATCCTTGAAGAATGTTTATGTTTAATGGGTAACGCAAAAATACTGCTCTCTAACTTTGGAAAACTCCCAATTGGAATGAAATCTTTATATTCATTTAATTGCGTATATGAAGTGTCAAATGAGTGAAACAAAAGAAAGTAACGTACGAGCATTGGCCACAAATTAGAGCAATAACCTTTTTCGTTCAAAATGCAATTTTCTTATTTTGAGCTGTTTGGATTATTTGACTCATTTCCGGATTTTAAAGACGATTCTTTCATAATTTATGAAATTATTCCAAAATTAGAGGTTTGCATTTTGTGTCACCTTGTACGAATAAATGTTGCACTGTGAAGGTAAATAACCAAATCGCTTTACAACAACAGGCCATCCCAAACCTAGGACAAGTTTATGATGGTCTAATAGGAGAAGATACGATAAAAATCAACGATTTCAAAATATAATTAGAATATACAAATATGAATTATTTGATACTCATATTTTGTTTGGATTTCGCGCTGATGAGCGTAACATCACAAACTACAGATTCAGGTAATTACAATTATCTCGTTATACCTAATGAACTGGTCGACATATCTGAAAATGGGACAGAAAATATTATTTTAAGAGATACATGCTTTATTTTTGTTCTGTTGGAAACCCGTATATATTTATAAGATCGGTAACTGGTTTTCATAGCAACAATATAGATAGTTAGGTAATATAAACCATCTAGCGACACCTTTTAGATTAGGCTAATTCGTTACCATAGTTGTACAGTGACCGTCGATGTGTGTAGTTTCAGATATATCAACGTTTACATCTTGTTGGCCACTAAAATATCTCGATGTCTTCTTACGTTAGTTATTACGACGTTTTAATTGATATACTTTTGTTATAAAATGTTGTTGACAGATGCATTGTCGATCAGAAAATAAATGAAATAGTATTATATACATTGATTGTATAATAATGCTCCTTGTTATAGACACATTGATAAATTTCTATTGATTCGGTGTTATCATTCAAAATAATTCATAATTTGTGTATAAATGAAACGATTTGACTTCTGAATTGAATCTGCAAGTAGTTTTAGCAGGTATTTAGAACTATATAAAGGTGTGGAAATGTGCAATAATTTCTTGCTATGTATATTTTATGAGATTGTTTTGTTCTGTCTTTTATATCTATTTTATGGATTTAAAAGCCTTCATGTATGTATTAACCCATCCTGATAATGTACTCGGGCTCCGTCCTCGTGTTACATGATTTTACAAATAAAGAAAATGGGACTCTGAAACATTTTCATCGGGTAAAGATATTGTTTTAGGTGTGTATCCCATGTACCTCTTCGACTGGTATCTGAAAAGTTAAAATTTCAAAAAATTAAAATTTCAGATATCAGTGATTCACACACAAAAAGTATGAAATCTTTCTATTTTTCAAATCTTTTTAATTATTCGCTCATGGATTTGATGTTAAATTGTCATTGTTATGAAATTACATGGTCAAAGATTCGTTTTTCATTTTTTATGAAGTAATACACTTTACCTTGTAGATACATCGACTCGGCCCTTATGCTGGGCGTGCAGCAATGTGCGGGACGAGTACGAGTGTGTCATGACCGGGCATTGGGACACATGCAATGCAAATTCGGTAAGGGAGACATATAGCCTATATATCTTTAAAAAGCATACGGGGATAATTATCCGATGGATACTTAATATATATGGGGATAACGACACAAGATAATTTTGGTATGCGCCACTAAAATCGTATCCGACTCATATGACGTCTTAAAAATAGCATCTGTCTGTTCATTTGTCTTGAATTTGGCGCCAAATAACCTGTTTGATCTGCAACAATATAGTTCCAAGATTATGAGCTCAGTAAAATGAGTTAAATTTTTTCATTAAATCATTTTTTTAAATTAAGTTCACAGAAAATAAAAAAATTAGAAAACAACAAAAGGTCAAATTGTTTGGGTCAAAGTCCATACAAAAATAGCGATCATAGGATAAATATGATATCCTATGATTTTCTCGGCTATCATTTTTATACACTCTTGGATATCGCCGATCTCCACTCATTGTATATCCTAGTCCAATTATGACTTTACGCAACTTTTTTCGTCACTGGATGCTATATTGATGTCGACTGAGACAGCGGGTCAACATTTGAAATTTAAAATGGAAATTGGACAGTTTAACTGTATTTCTCGATCAATCAGAATTAATGAGAATTTACATGTCTTTTTCAATTTATTTCAGCCCTATTGCCTGATCGAATTTGAATACTCCAACTCAAAAGGATATACGGAGTTATCAAAATTCTGCGCAAACGATCCGGTGAGTATTTGTTTCATTACGATTTCAATAACATTACACAAGAAAATCTCTAGATTGATTGTGTTGTCGCGTAAGAAATACATTATAGACCCCATGTAAAGTTTTATCATTAATCTCCTATTTTTCATAACATATTTTCAAATATTCAAATTTCCCATCATTTTTCAAAAAAAAGTTAACATTTTTAAATCATCAAGTATTTTACTATTCAATGCAGTACACATTATATTTTTAACACCATTAACATTTCGAAGATTGAACAAAGGACATAAGCATATCTATTGTGGCACTTATATATTAAATGCCTCATAGAATAATTGTATTTGAAAGTCAGTCCATCTTGAAACATGTTTTATGTTATAATGACATCACAAAATATTGAATTTATATGGAATATAAATCAAATGATTTACGTGAAATTTGTTAAGATTAGAAGATCGGTAGCAGAAGATCAACAATGTGACTTTGCATAACAACATTAGGCACCCTCAGTGACAACATCGTTTAGGGTGCAAAAATATTCTGAAAAAAGTTCTATCAATCTCCCATGGATAATTTAATAGTAGTATGCTATACCAACGTTGATTACAATAACTATTTTGAAAACAAGAATATATTATATTATATGTTTTAGATATTACTATACCATTGGTGTTTATGATTCTCTGAATCACTTTTATGCATGAATGGGTTCATTTATTGCTTATTTATCAACCAATTTTCTTTATTTTTCAACAAAATATATATGAGAATGAATGTTTTGCATTGGTGTGGTGAATTATCGCTTATTAGTGGATTCTAGTATGTGTGACCTCTCCAATTTAGCAAATGAATTCACGATTTTTTAAACAAAACACCTTACAAAAACACCTTTTAAAATCAAAAAAAGTTTCACTTATCACATTTTAATAACATTTTATAACACTACGATAGACGCCAAAGTGGTTTAAACTTTATTTAATTATATAGGGCCTTAAGAAATTAATTAAACGTAAATACTGCTTCAAATTAATCAACGATTCTTTTTTACCCTCCATTATCAATTCTATTGAGTTAAATGTGTTCAAAGATACGCAATTTTAGGGTAATAGAAAATACCCATAGTCTTTTAGGAATATTTCTAATTTACATAATTTGTTGGAAATGTTGTAATAAGCGATAATTCATCACACCAATTCAAAGTGAAGTCGGCTACAATGATAATGGTTTCAAAAAGTTATGACAATTTTTCCAATTTTTTAACCCTCTAGCGAATGTAAACAAATGCGGTTTCTTCGCTAAGATTTTTCCAACTCTTCTATCCACAGATGGGTATTTGTTGTCTTTAAAATGTATATTCATTTTCCTTGAGAATGAGCTATGCAGAACCGCCCTCTGAACTTGTTGTGGAACATAATCTCCATGTCAGTAGGATAAGGTCACCATTTTTATGGAAAATATCGCTTAATTTAATCCTTTAGTAATGTAAACAAAATGAATAACAAGGATTGGTTGTCCACCCAGGGTGTAATGTTTTTCCCTCTTGTGAAAGCCATTGCCCGACAACTTGTTCCCATCTATGTTGGCATTCACCATCCAACAAAATGTTCTACCTCATGTACAACATTTATAGTTTGCTCCATTTTATGTAGGCTTGCACCAACTTGGATGACTTGAGCCCAGCTGCCTGTGACAATGGAGAAGTGAACAAAGGAAAGAGCTGCTCGTATTGTTGTTACTCTGCTGGCTGTAACTGGGGGATACCAAGCCAGTTCCACGCTCAATATACAGGTATATAGCGTGTTTGTCATCGCGGACAAAAGCTTTGGAATAACCAAGAAATCTTGACATTGCACAAATATGTACAATATGCGGATGTACTCCAAATATCTGGGATTCAGGAATCAGTGTAACATGAATCATTACCCCCCTTTCACACCAAAGTAGTTTTCAACCGTTTTTCCAATTCTACGAGAAAGCCGCAAAACGGGCTAAATCTGGCAGTAGTCGTGAAATATGTCTAAAATTATAATCAGCTACTTCGTTCATAAAAAGTCTTCAATACGTCCATCTCATTCGCAGCTCGTTAAGATCGCACCGTGTCGGTGTGCACATGTATTGCAATCGATATCCGATTGCACAACGTTGTATAACGCGTCCCTAGTAGGGTAGAGGTACAGCAATTACGTTCCTGGTCTATACTATACTAGTAAGTCATTTCGTTTGAAGGACGCTGCCAGACGATCTGACAACAGAACGCCCATGTCGCCGTCGAATTTTGAATTGATTCAAAATTCTCAATCAACTTCCCCATGGAATTTGGAAATATACCTTAGAACGTTGTAGTTACGTTCATTCAGTTCGCACATAGTGGTTAAAACCAGTTCAGCAACATTTTAAAGAACGCAGTGACAACTTATTTGGTACGACAGTTTAGTTCGTAGTGTGTCACCATTGCGTCCAGGTCGTCTTAGTACGTTGTCACTCGATCTGATTGCAGAACGTGACGTCACCAGAAACGTCACCAGAAAATTTTGAGCATGCTCTAAGTTCTGGATGACCTACTCGTTCGGGTAGTTTGATAAAGTTTGTATACAGACTCCTAACGGTTCTAAGTACGTCAAATCCGTTCATGCACAGTTTAAACCCGGTTTCGAGAACGTAGTGAGGACTAGTTTGGTGTGATAATAGGGTTACCTTTTGCCATGTTTTGCCTTGCTACCCATACATTTGATTTACACGATTACATAATTCAGTTTACTTGTTCACGTTGTTATAGCATGACGGTAACGTCAAGGCGATTTGCAAAATTTCATTATAAAAATTCGCAAATTCAAAGTACATTATTATGGCTTTAGTACAACATATTACCCCCCTATCACACCAAACTAGTTCTTACCCGTTCTTGCCAGTCATACGAAAATGTCGTAAAACGGGCTCGATCTGGCTGCGGTCGGGATATATGTCTAAAATAATTAGCTACTTCGTTCATAAACAGTCTTCAATACGTCCATCACGTTCGAAGTTCGTTCAGGTCGCACCACGTCGGTGTGCAACGGTGTATAAACCGTCCCTTAGTCTAGAAGGTCATCATGACCTGATTACAGAACGGTATGGTCGCCAACGAATTTTGAATCGATTCAAAATTCTAAATCACATACCCCGTCCGGGAAAGTCCATGAAGTTCGTAAACAGACCGTAGAACGTTGTAGCTACGTTCATTCAGTTCGCACACAGTTTAAAACCGATTTGGCAACGTTTTGATGATCACCAGAAAATGTTGAGCATGCTCTAAGTGCTGGAGGACCTACTCGTTCTAGTAGTTTCATGAAGTTTGTAAACAGGTCCCAAACGGTTCTTAGTGGGTTCTTAGTACGTCAAATCCGTTCGTGCACAGTTTAAGCCCGTTTTCGAGAACGTACATGTAGCGAGAACTAGTTTGGTGTGATAGTAGGGTTAGGTGGTTTCCAATGCTCAGTTGGCTTTGTATGATCTTGTAGGTTACATCTATACCCCGAGGTCGTTAGGCAATGTAGACCATGCCCTAACGACAAAGATAAACAAATTACTAAATTTTGTGTAGTTTTAAATTTCAAACTCGATAGATTTTCGCTTATTTCATGTTAGCCTCGGGAATCAATTTGCAAGACTACGTTCAAAATATACATTACTGAATGCTTCACCGAATGCGATGCTTACATTAATCGTTTATCCGTTCATTGATACACAGTAGTAGAAAATAATGCACCAACCTTAGTTTTCTGTTCCATCGTGGCCATCTTATTAGATAAATCAGTGGGCGTAGCAGTTCAACCTCGCTTTTCAGAGGTGGCGTAACCGCCATGCTATAACAGCGTGTAGTTCGGGCAAGATATCAATAAAAAGTAGTTGATGCTTAGCTCGCATAAACGCCAGGCGCCAGCCGATGATTAGTTACTATGAAATCGTGTGATCGGCAGGGGACTTTTCCCAGACATACAGGCCGGCGCCTGTATGATAAATCGGAGCTTATGTGAGCCAGGCATTATATGAGTTAGGCATTGGAGAAAATATTTTATGATTTATGAGTGGAGTTACTTTTATCTACAAAAGGTGATATTGATATGGTCACAAACGAGCGTACGCGTAGTGTTTTGGAAATAAACCAGTGTGTTCTTGTCCAGAAATAGCTTTAAAAGTTGCCTTTAGTAGTGCGCACAATAAAACTTGTTAATGTCACTTTGTCCAAATATCTCAACTATCTCAACTTCCATTTCATTTTGTTACCATTTCTGAACTTTTTTTAGGACTTGAAGCAATTGAAACAGCGCCAACTCCGCCGTTTCATGTAGAAAATTTGAATTACGAGAATTCAAACTCAACCAGTTCTACAATGGCAGCATCAACAACGACAATGGAAGCACCAACGGCAGCATCTCCAACAACAACGGAAGCACCATCAGCAGCACCAACAACAACAATGGAAGCACCGACGGCTGCACCAACAACAACAACGGAAGCACCAACAGCAACAACATCTACGGAAGCACCAATGGGAGCACCACAATCAACAACAGCGGAAACACCAACAACAACAAGGGAAGTACAAACACAAGAACCAACAACAACAACAGAAGCACCAACGGCAATACATTCAACAATGGAAACACCAACAACAACAACTGAAGCACCAACGGCAACACAAACGACAACGGCAGCACCAATAACAACAACGGAAGCACCAACGACAGTACCAACAACAGCAACAGAAGTATCAACGGAAGCACCAACAACTACAACGGAAGAACCAACGGCGGCACCAACAACAACTACGGAAGCACCAACAACAACAACGGAAGCACCAACGGCAGCACCAACAACAAATACGGAAGCACCAACAACAACAACAGAAGCACCAACAGCAACAACAGCAGAAGCACAAACGCCAGCACCAACAACAACAACAAAAGCACTAGCAGCAGCATCAACAACAATAACGGAAGCACCGACAACAACAACGGAAGCACCAGCGGCAGCACCAACAACAATAACGGAAGCACCGACAACAGCAACGGAAGCACCAGCGGCAGCACCAACAACAACAACGGAAGCACCGACAACAACAACGGAAGCACCAGCGGCAGCACCAACAACAACAACGGAAGAACCGACGGCAGCACTAACAAAGACAACGGTAGCATCAACTGTAACAGTAGGTGGCTCAGACACTGGAACAGTGGATGGCTCAGACGCTGGTACAGGAGGTGGCACGGATGCTGGAACAGGAGGTGGTTCAGACGCTGGAACAGCAGATGGCTCAGACGCTGGAACAGTGGATGGCTCAGACGCTGGAACAGGAGGTGGCACGGATGCTGGAACAGGAGGTGGTTCAGACGCAGGAACAGTAGATAACTCGGACGCTGGAACAGCAGGTGGCTCGGATGCTGGAACAGCAGATGGCTCGGACGCTGGAACAGTAGATGGCTCAGACACTGGAACAGTGGATGGCTCAGACGCTGGTACAGGAGGTGGCACGGATGCTGGAACAGGAGGTGGTTCAGACGCTGGAACAGTAGATGGCTTGGACGCTGGAACAGCAGGTGGCTCGGACGCTGGAACAGCAAGTGGCTCGGACGCTGGAACAGCAGGTGGTTCAGACGCTGGAACAGCAGATGGCTCGGAAGCTGGAACAGCAGGTGGCTCAGACGCTGGAACAGCAGGTGGTTCAGACGCTGGAACAGCAGATGGCTCGGACGCTGGAACAGCAGGTGGCTCGAACGCTGGAACAGAAGATGGCTCAGACACTGGAGCAGTGGATGGCTCAGACGCTGGTACAGGAGGTGGCACGGATGCTGGAACAGGAGGTGGTTCAGACGCTGGAACAGTAGATGGCTCGGACGCTGGAACAGCAGGTGGCTCGGACGCGGGAACAGCAGGTGGGACAGACACTGGAACAGCAGATGGCTCGGATGCTGGAACAGCAGGTGGCTCGGACGCTGGAACAGCAGGTGGTTCAGACGCTGGAACAGCAGATGGCTCGGACGCTGGAACAGCAGGTGGCTCGGACGCTGGAACAGCAGGTGGTTCAGACGCTGGAACAGCAGATGGCTCGGACGCTGGAACAGGAGGTGGCACGGACGCGGGAACAGTAGATGGCTCAGACACTGGAACAGTAGATGGCTCAGACGCTGGAACAGGAGGTGGCACGGATTCTGGAACAGTGGATGGCTCAGACGCTGGAATAGGAGGTGGCACGGATTCTGGAACAGCAGGTGGCTCAGACGCTGGGACAGCAGGTGGTTCAGACGTTGGAACAGGAGGTGGTTCAGACGCTGGAACAGCAGGTGGTTCAGACGCTGGAACGGCAGGTGGTTCAGACGCTGGAACAGGAGGTGGTTCAGACGCTGGAACGGCAGGTGGTTCAGACGCTGGAACAGCAGGTGGCTCTGACACTGGAGCAGCTTCCGGCTCAGTAGATGCCACAGTAGCGGGTATACTAGATGTTTCTGAATCCACGGACCCTAGTGTCGTTACAAATACCCAAGGCATCGACACAACTAATAACAGATCTCTCTCTGATGCCGATGCACAAAAGGCATCAGCAGAGGAAGAAGCAAAAAAGCAACAAACGATTGCAGCTGCAACAGCAACGCCTGCTCTGTTCCTCATTGCAGGGAGTGGTATTGTAGCCACTGTGATGTTGAAGGTGTGTTCATTCAATACAACTAGTTCAGTTCATTTAATGCAAATAACTTTAGTTCAATCAATACGAATAATTCATTTCAATGAATACAAATAATTTTAGATCAATCATTCGAAGATGTTTCTGTCATAACAGTTAAATTATATTTAAAAGTAGACTAATCGATTCGTAATAGATCTATTCTAGAAAAAAATGTATTTCATTTCAGATGGGAAAATGTGGCACGCCGTTTGGTGCTGGTAAGAAAAAAAAGAACGATGACGAAGAAGACTCTGACGACGATGACGTCGAAAATGAACATGGACATATTGAATCAGATCATTTCACTCGTCCTGAAACAGCATCCACCGCTGTCTCAAGTGTACAAGACGTCAATGAAACCTTAACAGATCTTAGAGCAGATACGCCATCAAGCGTCATCGTGGACATTTGTTCCAGGCCATCCACTGCAAGTAGTGGCTACCTCAGTCGATCTGTCACACCTATGACTGACATCTGTGCATAGAGTACGAACTTTAAGATGGAGACGATACAACTTTAACTGTTGTTAAATTTAGCATTAAACTGATAGTTTTTATACTTAAAACGTTAAAACGTATGCATGTACAGGGTGGTTAAAAATCGGAAACCCTTATACTATTTTCTTCAGCTTAAGAAATAACTACCTGATATTTTACACATTTGTACATCCTTCATTTCCCTACCAGCCTAATCTATTTCATTATCATCAGATCGATAGTCACAATGTAAAAGCACTTTAAAGAACATGCTCCACTATTGCGCTTTAGACAAACCTGCATACGACGTCCAAAATGTCCTTACCTGACTCCTAGTCCTACCTGTGGGGATATGGCAAAGATAGAGTGTATGAAAATGACCTCGGGACAATTGCAGATCTCAAAAGTGAAATAATTCGTGGCATTCAGGCCATACTTGCTGAGGAATGCATTTGGGTCATTGACAACTGTGCAGATTTGCCTACAGGGCGATGATGGCCAAACCTGGAGCATGTTGCTCAAAGTGCTGTAACATTGTGACTATCAGTTTGATGGTCATGAAATATGGTAGGGTGTGAATGATGTACAAATGTGTCAAATATAAGGGAGTAATTTTCTACAATAATAAAGATATATGAGGAAAATGCAGAGTTTCCGTTTTTTGACCACCCTGTAGTTCGAAATAAGTGTTGTCGGTTGAGAAAGGGATTGTATTCATCAATGAACCTCCATCTCTTAGCTTAATAAGTTCCTTATTAGACATTGTATACTTGTTGAGTAAATCATTGTATGTATTTGTGGTAGATTATAGAAATATAGTATTCAACAAGCTATACTACGACTGAATTTTACTTAACCACTACTTGGCCTTGTTCACTGTCCACTGATTAAGTCAATTATTTGGAAATGATCAATTATACTACCAGTAATATTAGAACGATGTCTGAGTAAGTATTCAAATCTATTTACAATCAATAATGATGTTTTATTCAGTTTTCGTTTTAGGCAAGACTTTCTATCAAAATTCAGTTGAAATGCATGGCTCGGCTAAAAAGTTTAAAGGGTTCCGATTAGCATCCCGTATAAAAACAATATGGCGGCTCCAGGCGAATCAACTGGATCAGTCCATTTTTAAGAAATAAGGGGAGTTCTGTAAAATCCAGTTTATTGAAATTGTCTTTGAGATAAAGTAATCCGTTAATAATGATTTTGAAAACGTTAACCAAAGAGTGATTGTGTTCAAAGAATACATGTACAACAGCCAATATAAAACCGGTTTGTCATGCTTTGTTTCATTTGTAGGATATTTCATATGCCAAGCCGTGTGCTATTACGTTATGGGGAAATTTAGATGCCAATTTTTCCTTATTATACACAAATAGAAGATCCTGAAACTTCACCCATAAATGTGGAATTGATTTGTCAAAATAAAAATCACCCTTTTATAAATGTGTGACGATCTATAATATACTTATGCTATATAACAGTTAGAGGTGTTGACACAACGACCTCGAACCTGTGAACCCTTGAGTATTATTCCGGGATCGGGCCTTTTATACTAAACGGTGAGCAACACCAGAAACGAGCGTTCGATTTGCTAAACGATATGCGTCACCCTTTAATAACAAAATGATATACTTTGAATCACCTATAAGCTATTTTTTGGTAAATAAAAAATAGAAAAGTGAGTCTATTTATAGACGTTTAGCTTGAAATCTCTTGAAGTTAAAGTTACATTTCATTATAATCTGAATACTCATACTCGTAAATAGAGCTGTATTCATGATTTCCTCTTCATTCAAAAAACTTTGAATAGTGATATTATAGCTCTTGGCCAGAGTTAATTCCTGATAATTCATGGGAAAACCCAAGGTTGAGATAAAGCATAATTTTGGGACAAAATGTAGGACAGATATTACCGAGAAACCGACTAAAACTCGATCAAATTACATGGTTGATACGTCATTTAAAGAAGTTAAAATAAGTAATTTTCAAAAAATACTTATCTAGACAACCAAAATTTCTCCACGTTTATAAAAGTTTTCTTGACAATCCACATTGCACGACGTTTATTAAACTTAACTTTGAAACATTGTAGCTTTTTTATTATAACTTTTTATGAAATAAAATTTGATGAGTAACTCCAGAATCAAATTAAAATTTCAAACGAGATATGACACGCTATGTAACATTAAAGAATTTGAGCTGTAGAGCGGGTTGCAGTTGTTTTTAACACCCTGTTAAGAAGCCTACTTCTCGGTGTAAGAAGATGTAGTTATTCATTCAAAAACACATTAAAATATTGTCACCGTCGGAACTGAACTATTTTCAACACACGTAAATAAGGATATAATACTCCGCAATTATGGCACAGAGGTGTTGTATCTTCTGTCTTGTGACGATATTGGTAGCGTCGATAAATAATTGCTCCTTTGCCTGCCAGGCAACCATAGAGCTGATTTGTCTGCTCGCCAATATTATTTCATTTCACGGATCTGGTCGTAATCAAGTAATACTCGCGACAGATGCGTTAAAATCTACAGTAAATTTCTTATGGAGTTACTCAAACATTTCAAAGTATGATTATGAAATTTGAAAGACGTAGGAACATAGACTCGGCGTTATTAATATCGACCAATAATAACCATTACATCATCTCACCGTAGATATAACGAATGTATATGATTTTTATTCTAAGATTTACTCTACCCCGATTATTTTTCATATTTGACAGAGTCCCAGTTTACTTTCAAAATGTCTCCGATTTACAGGATGGTCCAAAAAGTGAACCGCTACAACGCGCTATATTTCCCTTATTACCCACAAAAATCCTTTCATATGTTCCAATGATGTAGAGGAAGGTCTAAAGTTTGTCTTGGTACCATTCATTTTCGTAGTCTTGACATTTGCAGAAATTATAAGCCCTAACCAAATTTTACTGAAAATGGATAAAATGTGAACTTCAACATCCGCGATTCTTCAACTCTTCAACACCATTCCCTGACATTTTTTAGCCGCAGTCTGAAAGACCTTATATTTTCTGACTTTGTTTGGTTTTGAATCCCGCACATTATAATGTTAAAACTAGTTCCCTACCTCCGTTAGTAGCAAAGTTATTGTGATCCAAAGAATTTTTCAGTGAAATTGCAACATACTACCTCTGTATGGTCTTAAAATGTAAATATCTGAAACATGGCTCAAAACATTGTATATTTGATTTGATTTTGATCTTCTTAGGATATATATATGAAGGCATTGATCATGAAGGGCTTTCTTCTCAGATTCTGGGTTACAACGGGCTACCTTGCCCCCTCTAACCGTTTGTGTAGGTACTGTAACATTCCCCTTAACTGTTGAACGGTTAAAACTGCTTCAAAATGGTCAATGAAAGTGTGAAATGTGTTTCCTGCTCAAATAATGTCTCATGTGTCATATTGTAGGGTTTTAGACTAATATTCTCCCACTGAAAGATGTTTATCCAATCATCCAGTGTGTTTCAAAAATTTCCGTGAATTACATTGGTGGTAATTTGCACAATATCTTATTTTCGGGCATGTTTGTTTTAGTCTTGTAGTATCTTCAAAATTCAGACTGATACAAATGATGGCACTCTCTCCAACATGTGATGATATTAGCCAATTCATGCATGCATATTAAGGAAAATATACCCTGTTGCAGCGACTCACTTTTTTGAACCACCCTGTATTTCTTACAATGAACTTGCATGGTATCCATGACGGATTTATGTTAGCAATGTGAGAACATATAATTATGAGTCACTTTTTGCTCCTAAAGCATTCATTACCTTCACTTAGTTCGCTGTGCTCCATTGTTGAAGTGTGCAACTGTTGTCGACTTGGAAAAAACATCTGTTTTTATACACATTGTTTCAATATAACCTTCACTTGGAATTAGTGGGGCTTCTTGACAATGCTAATCATTTTTCATCTTAAATAACCCTGTCCGATGAGTTATTTCACTATCCCATGTACATTATGGCATGCATGGACCTGTTGCATGATTTTTCTATGGGCTAGCCCTTATTTTGCGGTTTTGACTGGGAGTAATGTACTTATACTACATCCATGATGACCACTTGAAATCTACGTAAAGTTACATTTAACATGGTCGCCATTTTTTTCATAATGTCCGACGTTTTTTCAAAAAATTACCTTCCTATTCTCATTTTATCTTATTGAGAATTACTTCAGCACCATATAAGTAACTTCTGAGCACTGGGATATTTAATGCAATAAGGTTTAAAACAGTATATTCCATGTTATTTTCAAAGAGGAAGAGACAAATGTTATTCATTGTTTTTAGACAAAATCTTGGCATCAACATTTCATATATATTTATTTCTAGTTCAATTATCTCTTTATGCAGTGAAATTACAGGGTGACACAAAAATGCCACCCACTATTTTTGGAATTACTCCCAGTATCCAATTAAGGAATCTTCATGATTTTTTATGTGTGAAGTGTTCAATGGAAAATAGATTGGTATGTTTGCATAGCGTCAACTACTTGGAAATTATGAAATATCTCATTTTCCGTGGAGGCATGCTCTGACACAACATCACTCAAAACTGTAAATTAGAAGATCTGTCTTTCTTAAAATTAAAAATTAAGCAAGTCAGTTTATCAATTTTGCCAAAATGGATAGATATGATATATGATTGATAATATATGTAAAGGCAAATTCCCAATTTCCCAAATCCAAAGGAGGAGGGAAATTAGCGCAACAGATTTTGGACAGTCATATGTTGGATTTTGGCCATTTTCCGAGGATTTAAACAATTGCATATGTTAGGCCAATGCATTACCTCCAGAAAAATCACTTCTACAGATGATAAAATAATTTCGACTTTGAGACAGGGTAGATGCAAACAACCCACCCACATGTTTTTTTCTAAAATGTTTTCCTAATTTTCGACCCCTTCCATCCCTGCTTTTTTAATTTTTCTTGCATCAATATGTTTCGTTTTCACGCATAGTTAACCACTTTAAAGGAATAAGTGATTCCTTCAGGGGTTTACAAATACCCATTATGGGTGACCAAACTTAGCTGAAAACAATGATTTTTCCCTATGCTGGGAAACTAACATGGGAAATATTGTTTTCCTCTTTATCTAATAGGAATCATTAATTCCTTTTAAGGGTTTAACTCTATGTCAAAACACAACATATTGATGCAAGAAAAATTTAAAAAGCAGGGATGGAAGGGGTTGAAATCAGGAAAACATTTGAGAAAAACATGTGGGTAGATCAAAAGAAGTGAATTACCACTTTTCAAGTGTGTTTTAAATGACTATTGGGTTAAAAGATGGCGTATGGTTGAAAATACTATCAAAAATGAATGGATAATGCAAACAACAATGCCATCTTTCAATGACATTGCTAAAACTTGAAATATAAAAATTGATAAATCGAAAATATTTTTCATGATCTATTGTCAACTCTGATGTGATCTGTTTGAGATGTTTTTGGTGTCAAATAAAAGATCAGGTACTTAATAATCCATTAGAAATACTATGAAGATCAAAATTGAGACTTCATTTATGCATTTTGTTCCTTTAATTATTGAGAAAGTTATTCCAAAATAAGTGGGTGTCATTTTTACCCTCTAAGATGAAAAGAACAACGTCCTTTTTTGAGAAAAACGTATTATTTTATGTGAATTGTCTCATTAATGTAAAATGCTATCATATGACATATATTTTCTTAAAACGAGAATATCTGTATCAAATTCTTGACGACACGATCTAAATACTAGCACATAATAAAATAGTTCATACATATTTCTACAAAAGGCAGTATAACTTTATTGACTAGCTCTCATTTTACACTAAAGCAGACTTCTGAGATAACTCTGCAATTAAAACTATGTTACAACGCCAACAAGACTAATGCAACGATAAAACTAAAAGAGGGCACATCCCCTCTTTTCGCATGCAGCTGTAATAACACAACTTTCAAATGAAGTGTTCAAATAAAAAACATTATCGTGCTATCCATCGATCATACTGTACGTATCAATCGAATGTCATTTAACCTATTTCCTGCCCATGATAAGACTGTTGCATAAAATGCAGCTTTTTGGATTATACGTGCTCTGGCATTCTGAGCAAGGATCACTCGATTCCCTATTGAAAAATGAAAATCGTTTTTTGTAAGTATTGTAAAAGAAGGGGGTGATGTTTTGGCATCGTCTACAACATGTCCTGTTTCCAGTAAGGGAGCAGCATTTACAGTCAATATAGCTGCGTTTGCTCTCGCTCTGAGCGTCAATGTCATTGATGTCGCGTTCTTCCTCCACTGGTTCAATACTGCGTTTGCCCAAAATATACCCGCTATAATAGGGCATTTGTGGACATTCGCCACAGCAGCGGAAGTCTTGGGTAGCGCTGCAACAGCTGCATGCACTTGATCTGGCGTAGAATCGACGTTTGTTCACAGCTGCTAGTAGCGAATTGTCTTCAGAGTCGGCGTCTTCGTACGGGAACTGAACCGAGAAGGCTACAGCGGCAGTGACAGTTAACAGCCAAACTATAACAAGCTGCAACATATCCTTCATGGTGTCTGTAGAATGTCTATGAACTGAAACAAAGAAACAGTCAAATAAACAAAAGCAAACGTATTTTGCAATTGCTGATTAGGGAGCAATGGAAATTATACTAGAATCAGAGTCATAAACAAAAATTGATCAAAATAGAAGTACAATTGAGACTAATGTCTCTCATTTAATTTATGATTGCAGATCAAGAAATGAAGCAGAATGACCCATTTTAATACTATGTGAAGATTTGGATTTACTACAGTTGAAATCAATGTGCGCCAAACATAATTCAAAACGAATCATCAAGAAGAATGAGATCTGGGTTTGTAAATTGTGAGACAAAACAAATCTACAAAAAAGGAAAAACATTTCACAACGACATGGATATATTACTTTCTACTTTTAAACAAAACGTCCAGTACCAATCAACTCATTTTATCATAAATGGTTACAAAACTTACACACGCAACATAAAAAACAATCATACTTCTAAATGAAAAACCAAACACGAAAAATGGTTATTTAAAACGAATCTACAAAACATTTTCAATTAACTTGAGTGCTCGTGTTCACACTGATCTTTTAACGGCCAATGAATATAAATGATAAAATTAAACAAAATATGGTCTAAAAGCGTAAGATCCATTACGCCGCCAATATCTATTTCTTTTCATTAGTATGAGAGAAAAGCAGGATGTTTAAAAGTTACTATTCTTTTTCTTTAATTTGTCAACGATTCTGGACAGTGATATCTTCAATCGTAATTTACAACTAAACGGCCACAGCTCCCAAGACAGTAGGCTATTTATTATCAAATAGATTAATCACTCAGCATTTAACTTCGAAGATATTACCTTTCCAGCCTCATTCAATTTAATACTTTTTAAGTGTCACCAAGGCGTTAGTGGGGGCGGAATCCACAACAATGACTGTGAATCCACATATATATACATATCCACTCTATATGTTATACATACACTCCCCTCCATAAATTTGACAACCATGTGGAAGTGAATGTATCTTTACATACGTACGATTGGATATAGATGGTATTATTTTCTCAACAGGATAAACGGCTGTTTTTTATCAAGTGACCAGATCCTTATTTCAATATTGTCCCCGACCCCCTCCCTCCCTAAAATGTAAATGAACCTTTCTTAACATATTCACTTTTGATATAACAGTCGCTTATCTAAAATTAAAGAGTTGACGTGCAGTCAAATAACCATGAAATCTTTCCTCCTCCAAATGATAGTCCCTCATTTTAGTTAATTTGCTCACGACTGAAGCTTTTTATTTATTTTCAACTAGATTCTAACGACATTAATGGCACACTCAAATCTATTGTTCAGTTCCATGAATCTCTATTTGTAAATATGTAAATGAGGTAGGATGTTGTCTAATAGTAGCATTATCCAATTAGCTCGATTCAAAGTAGATACTAATTTGATATTTTTGGATATTTGCGCCACTGTCTCAAATCAATCATTTGTAACTGGTGTTACATAGATAAGTCAATGCCGTTTTATAGAGTAATGTTTTTTCTCATTTTTAGGTACTTGATAAATTGTATCTTATACCACTTTCTATTTAAACGTATTAAACGTATACTTTCTACTTTCTATACTGACAATAGTGGATTTATTGTATGTAAAAAGCAATGTAAAATTGAGTTTTTCGTTGAAACATTTTAGGGACCTTCAATCAATGTATTATGACATACGACAAAGTGGATATTGAATTTGATTAATATCAATTTCCTTAGATGCGAATATTGTTGAAATAAAGGTTATAATAAATCATATCTCTTCATGTATAAAATATAAACTTACCTTTGAAGTTTTTTATGTTAATTTATCACCTCTTTTGTAGAATATAAATACCATCCAACTCAACAATTGTCCTCCTTTCTCAAGTTATTTTCCAATTAGTGATTTTCTATTCGTGGTATCGGATTTTATATCTGGATTTCATTTCATTGTTTGCATCTACATCACGAATGCACGATTGCATCCAGCTTTATCTGCAGCCACATTCCCACTCACACAGTAATTATACCTTATCGAAATATCCTTCCTGGCAACACCGAAGTATCTAATTATGAGAACTAATAATGTCGAACGCTTTGTTTTAATCCCACAAATCTAGTTTGAAATAGAACTGGTGATAATATTGATAATGTATTATGATTATCATTGGTATCATAGTTGTGGGTAGCTATTGTGATAAAACTAAGAGTGATGTTTTACACCCTAATATGGTAATAATCACCACTCACGTGATGGTATATACCCTTATATGGCAAGAATAACCATTTGTAGCAATAAAGGTATTTATTCGTGTCTTAAACTTATCAATTATTATAACAATAAGGTTTACTCTACTAGGAAGAACTGGATCTATGTAGATCTGGCCGATCATTGAAAATAAATGGACATTAGACTAAATTAATCGATTTGATCGGAAAATGACAGTGAATAATCTCAAATTTTGATCAAAAGTCTTTAGAGAAGGAAGCGTGCACCCCTCCTTCCTTCGAGCTCATCACAATGTTCAGAAACCACAATGATATCTATAACTCTCAAGTAAGTAAATAGAATTATCTTTTACTACTGTCAAGTTGTATATTCTACTAAAAATGTGACTTTCAAACCTTATCAGCTTTTTATTTACATCTCCTAGACTAAATCATGTTTCTTAAATTGTTTAAATTCTTTAAATTCGATATCATTTTCAAAGAAGTTTGTAAACAGAATTATACACGAATGAAGAATGATGACATAGACCGAAATAGAATTCGAATACTATCATAAGAGCTCATAAGGGCGTGGGACTTTTGTTTGGACTTCCGTATCCCTTACCAGACAAATTAGCCTTGTGTCTTAGAGGGTATAACCCAGACTTCAAAGATAAACATCTTCATGCAAAAATAAACCTCTGGTTATATCCTTTTATGAATTCTGGGTTATTTCCCCCTCGCAGGGCCCCCTCTTCAACAATCCTCTATCTGGTACATGTACTCAGAATCAGTCTCATATGTGTGAAATGAAATTGTATCTGAGAAAATGTATCGATAAGTGAATATGACAACGGTATGGGTAATTTGATTGCGCTTATTGAGACATCAGTTGTAGGTAGAACGCCCCTACCTTCTCTAGATTCCTCATATGACAACGGGATGGATAACATTATTACACCAAATGCTCTTTAGATTCCTACGAAGTAATTCAAAGCAAACTGATTGGAATTTTATGTGAAAGTTGACTGTTGTATTGTAAGTGATGGCCAGACTGAACTATAGCTCTTCTAGACAAGTAATAGAGTGCAATGCCATATCAAATCAAAAGCTGTATTTAAAGTACTAATATTGAATTATCTGGTCATAAAATGTGAGACAAAAATACTATTTAGTAATTAATTAACAGTCAAACTGTCCAGTTCATTTCTTGGTACATGTATTAAGTCGTATAAGTATATATATAAATATGCATCGATTCAACAATGACAGATATAATTCGAGACGTTTTTCCTGTTTTTGTTGTTTCAATCGTAAAATTTCCCATGAGTGACATATTTCTGTTAATGACACCATACATATAATTTATGAGCACTAACAGCAGCTGCAGATATGAAATTATGAATTATTGAGAAATTATATACTAATAAAGATGGACCTGTAGACCTTGGGGGACATAGTCAACTCCATTAGACACCCTTTTTGTAAATATAAACTGAATTCGGATCATATTTCCTCTCTTATCAAACTCCCCCGTGTTTCAACCGCCCATGCCGATTGCCGACACAACCATGTGTAACTAAGTCGATTAAAATATTTTTGCTTCATACAAGAAAATAACATATACATAACATACAAGTACCATCCAAAAAGTTTTGAATGTTTTGCTCTTATTCAAAGATTTTTTTCTTTTCGTGCTTATATTGTGTATTACAGCTACAACTAAGCTCTGGTTTGTCCGATTCATCCATATTTATTCAGATTTCAGATTGTTGTAGGGGACCCCATAAACTGATTGGTGGCATTTTGTGACTCATTTCAAAAGTGCTTATTCAGCACATTTTACATTTCAATGTAAGAGCTTTCAATTTGTTGGAAATATATGCTTGGTCGCAGCTCTGAAAAATGTTACCACTTGGCATTTGTTACAGACGCCGAAGACCAAAGCCGAACATAGCCAACGAACGGCATCCACAAGAAGCATAACAATATGTCAACATTTGTGGTGGTAACATATTAATATCATAAAAACATCTCTGGATGAATAAATAGTGTATGCATGTGACGCCGTAATAGGGTTTCTGATACAATTCAGAAAACAAATGACAAAATTGAATCATAGACACAGATTTGTGAGATTGTACAAATAACAACCATTTTGCTCATACATTTGAAAGTATGTACATAAACATAATAAAACTACTTTGTGCTATTCCTTTAAACTTTACAAATTGAACAAATACAAATGTATGAAGATAATAAGAATATAAAATGTGATAATATGAGTGCAACTTTTTGAACAACCCTCATTATGTCTGATATATTAAAAATATATGACTTCATTTCAACATTGTCAATTTCTTCGAAAATCGAAAGGACATGTGTATTAATTGATACATCATTTTCAGTATTGATAGATACACAGACCAACAGATGCCTATACAACCCCATAGCCTCAGTGTGTGGGCCAAAAACAGTACAAAACAGAGTCTAAATACACATTATTTGAAGAGGATGAGTTTATGTACCAAACCAAAAAACACAAGAGATATCTGATAACTGAGTAACCATAATGGCACTATGTAAGCTAATGTATCATAAACTGTCACTTCTAAAACTTAACGATTGTGTGTGGGGAGTCTGGGCCTAATATTAACTTATCCAAGCATACTCCTAGGAATATGATTCCATAACTATAACTTACATTCATTAATTAAACTGCTAATTCAAATCTGAACACATTGACATATCTGAACTCTCAAATTGAGTTGCAATGGTACACTTTTCATGAGTTCTTAAGGGAAATGCTTGGTCTACTCGTTGCATAAAGAGATACGTTTCATGAGAATTCACTTTTCGATTTCGCAAATTGAGTTGCTGTATACTGAACATTTTTTAGAAGGCTCGGATGCTTTAGTTTGATTTAAGCCTGCAGATATCTTAATTGTTATTTTAGGTTGGTGATGACAAAAGCAACTGTTCAAAAGGAGCAACTCTAGTAGTGGAACACCTATATAAGTGGAACACTTAAAATTCCAGTTATCAATTAGCTCTCTGTAAGTAGAACACCTCCAAAGAGGAACACTACGTTGAGGTATAAAAAGGTGTTCCTGGGACTCTAAGCTTTCTCCAAGTCTCTCTGAACAGCCTGTAATTACTTCACCACTTTGTGAGGGGGGTGAAGTGGGGTGGGGTCATAAGGGCTTAAAGCTACTCTACTATGACACAGTTTTTACAGCATAATCTATAAGTGACAAACATCTTTGTATTTATATACATATATTCTATCAAGTTACAATTCATTCATACCATAAACATGTAATATGACAATACATTGTAATGCATTCAATTCATGATGTCAGACTCACATTTCTAATTAATTGATTGGAAAAAGATTTTACGTTATTAAGGGGCATAACAATACAACTTTGGCAAAATCATGTGTGGCACTGACGCAAATATCAACAAATAAATAATAATCATTATACATTAATATTACATTACTCGGTCTAAGAATTACAATGAATACATTCAACTGCTTAATCATAAAATTCTTCACCCAATTTCCATATGATCTACACCGAGATGAACCAGTTAAGTGAGTATTTAGGTCAAACAAAAATAACATTTGTGAATAAACTGATAAAAAACATACATCTGCATGTACCTGAAGCACAAGTTATTATTCACTGTACATTTATTACAAATACATGGAAATAACCTTGTCTTAACATATTGCAAAGTAGAAACACTGTCCTTGGTATTCCTGCAAAAGGGGCACTCTCCCATGGTGCATTCTTGGAACTAGGTTAAGGTATTATATAAGTGAGTTCACAATACACAAGGTGAATGCCTAAACATGGTTGGAAAATACTTGAAAGATCAAGGAATGTTTAATGTCATGTCATGAAAATGATTATTCAAACTTTAGGTTTCATATTTGGGAGCCCAATATTACCCAAAAGAAGTTGTCAAAATTGTGATATACAAAAACACAGAATCACTTTTTTCATATACTATAGACATGATATCACCAGTGTCCTTAATGATATTGTAATGTGAATAGAGAAATGGCTCAATGTGAGGCACTACCTTGTGACAGCTCTTAACACCAAGTATAACTGTTATATATTAAAACTTCTTAATATATACATCATGTATTAGATGTGTACATAATGTGTTAAATAAAGAATATGCAGAACATAAGTCTGGTGAATAGTAGTGTCTTCCACATATGGTTCAACAGGTTTCTTTCAGAACAATTATATTCCATAACATGCTCTGACTTTCTTAAACTATGTCTATAGAGAAGAGAAACCACTATTTTCTGTAAATCCTTCAGGAACAGAATTCCTATGGCTGTTCACAATTGATACCAGTCTCAAAACCGTGTGTGTAACTGTATATCATCTCTTATAGTTGGTTATTGTTTGTACATTTTCTGCACCAATCTCATAAGTCCCTTGGTTAGTCTCCCTATGCTGGTATCTAATGTTCTTGTCATAAGATATTTACACAATTGCCTTGGCCTCCGGTAGGAATGCTTGCCAGTATTTTATAAGCTGAAAAACAAGAATTAAACATTGTCAACATTCATTTTTTGCAATAATAACAATCCCACGCTCTAGCAATGATAGTGTGCACTACCATGATGACAATATAAAATAAGTGTAGTACATGCTACTGTTCCTTAAGAAATTAAGTAGTCATTGAACTATGTTTTCATTGGTTATCAGTGTGGTTCTTATACACCAGATACACCAGTACATAATTATGTCAAATATATGTATGCAATAACATCGATCAATGATACAAAATAAATATACAAGTAGATGTATGTATGTGTAGCTTTTATAGAGCCCAAAGATTAATGAAAGAGGACACTAATTATGATATCACTGGTCATATAATTTAATCAAACTTGACAATCAGACAATAATTGAACTGAAAGATTTTCACTGCAGATCAAGACTTAAAACACTTTTTCAATAGGCATTTTCCCTCAAAACAAAAAGGATTAAGCAAAAGGAAAGATGAATATCCCAGATGGTTCAACTTACTCAAGGGGCGAGGAGGAAAATTCTCAATAAATGGTGTACAGTTGGTTTGGCAGCATATTCAGGTAGGGGAGAGTCTTGGATGAAAGTTCCACCTAGGTGATAGCTTCGCAGAGTGGTAGGAAGTTCTTTTTTTTGAGGAGTTAGACCCCCACCCCCCCAAAACACCCCACCCTGGGGAAAAAAATTGTTCACACTATATAACCTTAGATATTCTGATGTTTGTAAGTGACATACATAGATATTATATATATGAATCATTTGTAGTATAATTGATGCTAATTACTCCTAGAGAATTTGAATATTAGTACAAAGTGTGTACCCTAGGGGGCAAATTCGTGACTCATTTTCTTACTATTTTAATTATAACTTTTCAATTAGACACTGTAAGAGGTTGAAAAAATTCATATGAAGTGCCCAATAGCAGGGTTAGTGACCCTAAAAGATGCAAAGCCATGGAAGAGGTAGGAGCTGAGAAAAAAATTGTTGATTTTTCGAAAAATTTGACATTTTTGACAGCTGGATTTTGTGTACGACTATAGCTGACCCCTATAGTTTCTAGATCCATCCCTCTATGATGATATTTATGGTTTTATAGTGTGAAACTAAGATGTAAAACATAATTTAGATGGGTTTTAAGGAAGTTAAAGGTTTTAAACAAGTCCAAAATTTGAAAAATTGTAAATTTAAGGTTTCAAATTTATGAATTCCAGGTATAGCCATGGCTGACCCCTATAGTTTCTAGATCCATCCTTCTTTGATGATATTTATGCTTTTATAGTGTGAAGCTAAGATGTAAAACATAGTTTAGATGGGTTTTAAGGAAGTTATAGGTTTTAAACAAGTTCAAAATTCGAAGAATTGTAAATATAAGGTTTCAAATTTACGAATTCCAGGTATAGCCATGGCTGACCCCTATAGTTTCTAGATCCATCCTTCTTTGATGATATTTATGCCTTTAGTGTGAAACTAAGATGTAAAACATAGTTTAGATGTGTTTTAAGGAAGTTATAGGTTTTAAACAAGTTCAAAATTCGAAGAATCAGTAAATATAAGGTTTCAAATTTACGAATTACAGGTATAGCCATGGCTGACCCCTATAGTTTCTAGATCCATCCCTCTTTGATGATAATGGTTTGCAGTATGAAACTAAAGATGTAAAACATAATTTAGATGAGATTTAAGGAAGTTAAAGATTTTAAACAAGTCCAAAATTTGAAAAATTGTAAATATAAGGTTTCAAAGGACGATTCTCGGTTTGGAGAACAGTCTCCCGGGCTAATAATTTTTTTCATGAAAAATATAGAAATACTACCCAAATTAAACTATGAATATTCAAAAGCGGACATTTAAATCTACAAGATGTAAAAATAACAAATTGGTCTGAAGTAGGGATAACGCTCAATTAGACCGATTCGATAAAATACAAGTCTCGATTTGGGGAAAAAAGTTCATCGGTGTACTGCGCTAATATTTTTTTGTGAAAAATCTAGAAATATAACCCAAATTAAATAATGACTTTTCAAAAGTAGACATTCAAATCTATATTATGTAAAAAAATCAAATTTGTCCGAAGCAGGGATAATGCTCATTTAGATTGATGAACTTCGTTCTCCAAACCGAGAATCGTCCTTTACGAATGTTAGGTATAGCCATGGATGACCTTTATAGCTTTTTCATCCATACCTCTATGATGAAACTGAATTTTTAGAGTGTGAAACTAAGATGTAATACATACTGAAGATGAATTTTAAGGAAGTTTAAAAATTAAAACAAGTGCAATATTTGAAAAATTGAGAAATGTCAGGTCTCAAAGGAGCACGAAAAGCATCGCAACAGATTTCAAACAGTCATATGTTGGATTTTGTCTGTTTTCTGAGGATTTAAGCAGGTGCATATGTTAGGCCATTGCATTACCTATGGGAAAAGAACTCTTAGAGATGATAAAATAGTTTGGACTTTGAGACAGCGAAGGTGCAAACAATCCACCCACATGTTTTCGGAAATGTTGTCCTGATTTTCAACCCCTTTCATCCCTGCTTTTTCAATTTTTCTTGCGTATGTTGCGTTTGGAGACATAGTTAACCCATTAAAAGGATAATGAATTTCTTTTAGATGAAGCAGAAAACAATATTTTCCTGTTATTTCCCATAGGGAAAATTCATGTGATCCATTGCTTTCAGCTTAATTTTGGACACCCATATTTGACATCTTTAAAACCCCTGATGGAATGCATTATTCCTTTAAAGGGGTTAACTGTGTGCCAAAACACAACATATTGATGCATGTGGGTGGGTTGTTTGCACCTTCCCTGTCTCAAAATAGAAATTATTTTATCATCTCTATGAGTGCTTTTCCTGGAGGAAATGCATTGTCCGAACACATGAACCTCCTCAAATCCTCAGAAATAGCCAAAATCCAACATATGACTGTCCGAAATCTGTTGCGATACTTTCAGTCCTCCTTTACGCTTTCAGGTATAGCCGCCCTTGGATGTCCCTCTTATTGAATGCATGACTTTTTAGCTTAGAAATTAGATGTTGAAAATATTGTGGTCAGGTTTGATCCATGTAACAAGTATTGTTAAAAGAAAAATCATTAGAGATGAAGACCTTACCCTAGAGTTCCTAAGGGGGTGAGAGGTTAATAACCCCCCCCCCCCTAAAGTGTAACTACTCTTAGGGATCTTGTATACAGTGTAGTAATTGATTGATTAAATGGATTATAACTAATTAATTATTATTTGATGATATGTATTATGTGATGTAGCATTTTTACTTTTTCACATCAACATGTTCGATGTAATGCTCTACATTGTCAAAATACATAAAGACATGGTTAATTAAAAGAAACATGATTTCTCTATATTTTGGTATACCCCTACTGTAATTAAGCAATGATCATCTCCTAATACAAAATGTTATTATAAATTATCAAATTATAATCACTACACTCCCAATAAAACAACTTGTCACCAGGCAACAGTAATTATTTGGGAAAATAAGGAATATAAGGATTATACCCCCAGGGCCTAGAAACTCCCGTTAGTGCAGTGAGATTAGGAACTCTACAGGGTCGTAAAAGGGTCTTGTCACACTAAAATCTCCATGTAGATCAAAAAAGTACATTGTAGAAAATGTTTAGATACTGACATTTTCTAGCATAGTTTAAGAATTTTTTACATTTATTGAAATGATAGTCCTAAAATTAGAATATCAGTGTCATTTGATGCAAATTACTGCAGTCCCAAATGTTCTCCTGCTGAATCCTCTTCAAGAGTAGAATTTTACAGGGATTTCAGTTATCATTTTCAAAGATATTTGAGTTCTCTCCAATAGTTCCACTTACAAAAATCTTGACATTTGGCACACTTTTAGAATGCTGCTATTTGAATTTCTTTGTAATCTATGAAAATTTGTCTTATATTACTTGGCCAAAAGGCATTCATATTTTTAGGTAATGGTGTAATTTCTTCTATGGATTAAAGTTCAATAGGGGAAGCATCCATTCTTCGCATTCTTTCAGAATCCTTTACCTATGGAGGCTACTAGGAGTGTAATATGAAATCTATTCTTTGGGCTCCTTCACTAGATTTGATGGAGTAGTCAAATAAACCTTTCCAAAACTCCAAATTTCAACATATAAATTAATCTTAATTTTCCTTTTGTCATAGCCATTGTATTGATCACAAAAGTTTTATCAATTTGTGGTATGGGTTCATCGATCTCCATTTCAAACCCCTTTTTAAGTTCTGATTTTACAGGATAAGATAGATGATCATTGTCAAACGAAATGTTTGTATCAATATAAGATCATAGTTTACTCCCACATAGCTAGGCAAGGTGTGTCCAATTCCAGCCAATTCAATACTTCATATAACTGCATTCCAATTTACTACTCTCATAAACCCAAGGTCAATTTTAGATTCTAGAGAAACTTATATGAAACCAATAAGCTGATTAATTTCATTGATTAAAAATCTATAAATAGCATCTTAGGGAATAGCATGCCAAGACAAGTGCTTGTATTTGAATTTATGTGGATTACTCATCTGGTAGACACCTTTATTAAATGTTATAGTGTTGTTGATTTTCAAGTTGTACAAGCATGGTGTCATGGGTACTTTCTTTTCCTGACATAGTATTAACTTTGTGGTAAAAATTATCAAAGGCACCTAGTACAGTAGTTCTAGTTCATCATCTTGTATAAATGCTATATCAACAGTGAAACCTGTATATCCCAACATCTGACTATTGTGAACACCTACCAATCATCCCAACACCTGACTAATCTGAACACCCACCAATCTGAACACTTTTCCCAGTCCATTTTTCCTCCCATTGACTCCTATGTTTAAAAAATTGAAATCTGAACACCTCTTAATTCGAACAGTGAACACTCATATTTGAAAGATTAACCTGTCTAACTTGAACCCTTTTTACCAAACATCACATATTTCTCACAAAATTGCTCAAATATTGTCAGTTTAACACCGAATTGTTATGATATCAAAACGTTTGAATTGGATTTTGGAATGCTATTAAGCTTTTTATGTGGTCAGTATAAATATTATTAATATTTATTAATATTTTTCATTGAGAATGCATTCATATTTCTTCAAAATTCAGAATATTGCAGATGTAAAAACCTCAAAATTCAAATACTCCTTATTAGAATGCTTTTAGCTGGTCCAAATAGCATTCAGATAAGGGAGATTTTACTGTAGTTCATGACTTTTCACTCCATCTATATGCAGCAGACTAACTGCTGCAACAGGTATTGTTCTACACCTGGTCTCTAAGCTATATCATAGTTGATACTAATATGCTCATAACCTTTGATTATCAGGGCTCACTCAAGGCTGAACCTGAATAATGTGAATTTGAGACATGATATTTCTCAACTTTCCAAATTTTGCACTTGTTTAAAACCTTGAACTTCTTAAAACTCATCTTAGCTATCTTTTACATTTTAGTTAAACACTCTAAAACTATATATTTCATCACTGAGGTATAGACGTAAAAACCATAAGGGTCATCTTTGGCTATACCTGAAATTCGTAAATTTGAAACCTTATATTTACAATTTTTCAAATTTTGGACTTCTTAAAAACCTTAAACTTCCTTAAAACCCTTTTAAATTGTGTTTTACATATTAGTTCTACACAACAAAACAACAAATATCATCATAAAGGGATGGATCTAGAAACTATGGGGGTCAGCTATGGCTATACCTGGAATTCGTAAATTTGAAACCTTATATTTACAATTCTTCGAATTTTGAACTTGTTTAAAACCTATAACTTCCTTAAAACCCATCTAAACTATGTTTTACATCTTAGTTTCACACTATAAAAGCATAAATATCATCAAAGAAGGATGGATCTAGAAACTATAGGGGTCAGCCATGGCTATACCTGGAATTCGTAAATTTGAAACCCTATATTTACAATTTTTCAAATTTTGGACTTGTTTTAAACCTTTAACTTCCTTAAAACCCATCTAAATTATGTTTTACATCTTAGTTCCACACTATAAAACCATAAATATCATCATAGAGGGATGGATCTAGAAACTATAGGGATCAGCTATAGTCGTACACAAAATCCAGCTGTCAAAAATGTCAAATTCTTCGAAAAATCAACAATTTTTTTCTCAGCTCCTACCTCTTCCATGGCTTTGCTTCTTTCAGGGTCACTAACCCTGCTATTGGGCACTTAATATAAATTTTTACAACCTCTTACAGTGTCTAATTGAAAAGTTAGAAACAAAATAGTAAGAAAATGAGTCACGGATTTGCCCCCTAGGGTACACACTTTGTACTAATATTCAAATTCTCTAGGAGTAATTAGCATCAATTATACTACAAATGATTCATATATATAATATCTATGTATGTCACTTACAAACATCAGAATATCTAAGGCTATTTAGTGTGAACAATATTTTTCCCTGGGGTGGGGTGTTTTTGGGGGGTGGGGGTCTAACTCCTCAAAAAAAAGAACTTCCTACCACTCTGCGAAGCTATCACCTAGGTGGAACTTTCATCAAAGACTCTCCCCTACCTGAAAATGCTGCCAAACCAACTATACACCATTTATTGAGAATTTTCCTCCTCGCCCCTTGAGTAACTACTGTTACATTTAATAGTATTGCTCTGAATTACACATGACTCGATAGAACAAATTAAGCACAGAAGCCATTCATTCAATATTCTAGAAAATAGGGAACAATCAAAATTTACTGAATGAATAACGCAGCAATCAAAATAATTAATTGGCCAATCTAATCACCAAATAGACATTTTATAACAAGGTATTAAACAGCTAGCATAAATCAATGGTTAATTTAATTTCTTCTGGAAAGGAGTTTTCCATTACCTACTCAAATATTTAGTTTATGTCACAGGTATAACTGTAACTTGTAGGATCCTGTTATTAATGGCAAAGCTATATCGGTACAGCGTTGATTAATTGACCAATATATGCTATGGGAGGTGGAAATGCAACAAATCCGGAAATTTCTGTTTGTATTTGAGGATTTGAGTGACTATGATCTTTACATTCACAAGAGTATTCATATTAGTGTATCAAAACTTGAGACTGGTCTTCAAATGATCAAGCTTTACAATGAAAAAGAATTGAAAAAGACTGGGGCACTTAATATATAATACAGGGTGTTTCATATGCATGCACCCTACTCTAAACTCATAAATGTAGCATTACGGTCACCATATCATATTACTTGTATATAAATTTAGAGTCAGTATTGCACATTTCTAAAAATATTACAATGGCAGAGCTAAGTCCACAATCAGTAAGTGTGACAACTGTGCACAAAGATATATGGACAGGATTCGTTCACTGACTTATGGGGGGATCAGGGACCATAGTTTTGATAGGTGGGCAATAATTGAACTGAAAAATGAGTTTTGAAAGTTTTTTGGGTCACCCTGTATCTATATATTCTTATAAATGGGGTAGCATTTTGGGGTCACCATATATCTTACTTCAGAATATATGATATTCTGTTAAAGGTGACATGGGTCATTGTTTTCTGTGCTGTAACTGACACCTGATACAATATGGTAATAACAGCTAAAGCTCTTAATATAAAGGGACTTGTTTATGTTAACTCCTTAGGGAACAAATTGGTGTAAGGTTGTTCTTGTCTTTAATGAATCAAGGTGCAAGATCTTTGGTTTATATTTAGTCATTACTGTTACTGCAAAAATGACAACAATAATTGGCCTGGCAGAGGATTCACAAGATCTCAACTCCTGTTTCTCAATTCACAAATAGTAAAATTACACTTAAATATATTAAAAACAGGACACTTTAACTGGTGTAAAACACAGTTCATCACCAGGCCATACCAGGTTATCGCACATATTGAGATCAATAAACACGGGGAGGTTTCTAACTGAACACATGTGAACCTAGATAAATGTAACACTATATTTTTGGAATAGCCCCCTCAATTATTTGGGTTGCATTTTTATGTCACCCAATTATTTCTCAAAAATGGCTAAGTCAAAATTAGTATTAAATTGGGGGCTTGAATAAAATATTACTGTAGTGTATGCTTTGTAATTTTCCACCTCTAGCTATAGCTTAGACATTATTATCATGATTAATTACTTTTATGTGCTTAAAGGGGTCAAGTCAAATAAGTGTCATTTGAAATTGAAGGTAATTTAGTATTGACAAGGTGTAAAATATTTTTCTGAGCGAAATAGTAAAGTCCATTTAAATAAACATGAAGAAAGAGAGGGAATAGTTTGTATGCCAAAAAACTGATTCACTTTATTTATGAAAAAGCACATTGATATTTTGAGATGGTTCCTCACTCACCTTCTGTTGATTATTCACCAATGTTTCCAGGTATTTTATTATAATTGATTTGAAATCTTTCACTCTGTTGATATCAAATTTCCCTATTTCTTTACGAATCGTTTTTGAGATCTCATCAAATTCCTTTTCACCTTTCTCAACTTTGTCTTCCCACTGAAATGAAGATACAAAATCTGTTTTAAAGTAGATAGAACATCATACGATAACCAAGCACATACTGGTGAGCCATTGGCAGCTTATTTCAATTTCTACACACAACATTCTTCAATCAGTTTACATTTTTCAAAATGTCACAAATCTTTAAATATGAACATTTTTGAGTCCAAACATTATATTCTCAGATCAGATAATTGTGAGCACCTTCTCTTGGAAAGACAGATATACAAGTAAATCGAACATATTTAATCTTGGCCCTCTATACTGTGCATGCCTACATTAATTAATTCACAAACAAATAACAAACAGGATTACCTTATTTCAATATTTAAAATATACCCTTAACCTTAATAGACAAGCTATTTCATCCTCTGACTATAATGAATGATTCTACAGGTCAAGATAAATCTTAAGCTACTTCCATGCAAGTTTCAATGTCAAATGTATTGTATCTACTTCAATACAGAGAATTCTATGTCAATGTGTTCTGATTACATATCTTTTATTGAACACTAACTAGATTAAAAAATCATCTGTTATTTGTAGAGTGCACATGAAGTTTAGCTTTGTTAAGGGTGTTCAAAAAGTACAGACCTCAGTTATTTCAGCAGCGGCCATTGGAACTTTATCAGTCTTCCTGGCAAGCTCAAGTTTTGCCTTTGCTTCCCTCTTTCTACTGAGCATCACCTCAGCATCTTTCCAGGTCTTGTACACTTTAAATCTCTCATTGAAAACTTCCTAGAAATATCAAATAGGCATCTTATTAAAATTAAAAAGTATTTCTTTTATTCTTCCTAATCGACACAAGCCTTGGATGTACTCCAAACATCCTCCTTTAAATGAGGTTAAAAGAAGAGGGGGATTATATTCAATCAAAAATAACATCTCATCATAAAATTCTATTGCATATTTTAAAAATAAAATGTTTTATTGAAAATTTCTTGATAGTAAACAAAGATGTTGTAATTCAACATATACTCCAATTAATTCATAAATACAATGTATATTCATCAGTGACAATTTAAAATTAATCTACGGGTAAATGTGGTCATTAAGTATCTTATTTGAAGTATATAATATACCAATTAGTAATCTGGTAACGATATGCAGGCTAGTCACATTTTTCTATGTCCTCAGACAGTTCAACAAACTTAAAGACAAGGCATTAACATGCAAAATGTCACTACCTGTCTTTTGTTATAGGTGCCGACTGTCGACCATCAACTACAGACCACCAAACACCATCAACAAAAAGGTTGGAGACTATAACAATGTCACCCCTTTTGGTGGGGACATAAAAACTGATTCTTTTACAATATTCCAAAACTAGAAACGAAAAATTTCCCCGAAATGATATCTAATTAGTTTAGAATATATACAGTCAAGTAGAAATATGAAAATATTAATATGTTCTAATACAAACTAGGGGTCACACGGTTTGAGATTTCACGGTTCGGTTCGGTTATTGTATTTCACAGTTCCGTTCGGTTCTGATTGCGGTTCTCACGGGCCTCGTGAAATGAGCAAAAATATATGAAATTGATCCGAAAATCAGAAAACATACTAAGTGTGTCACATTGTTTTATTGTATTCATTATTGTAAGTTTCCAGTTTCACACAATGTTTGTTTGTTTGTTCAGTCTTTTTTCCCTGCCTCCCTCCCAAAATATCTGTGTGTTCACTGTGTTGATCTTCTTGTTTGATGTTCAAGTTTTTTCAACACATAAAATAACTTGTCAACTGTTGGCAAAATTAGCACAGTACTTCACTAAACTGAATAAATGTTTTCTTTAGAAATATAACTTAAGTTCAACACTTTGCCAGGACTCAACATGGATCAAAGGCGAACGTAATACACAGAACGTGACTCGTTCGCAAATTCAATGCATTCGGCGTTCGGCTTTTTACAGTATACTGTTCTATCAACCAATAGAATTGCGCGAAATGTTTAGCGTAGGTCACTTCCGGGTCAATATGCCGGTGAAATTTATCAACATTTTCCTTTTGTTTTTGTTATCTGCCGTCTATATCAGAAGATCGTCGTAAATATCAGGTATGGTTCGCATTATTGCATGATGATTAACGATTCCAGACGATGTTTAGTTAATTGGTATTACACGAAAGCTTGAAATGGAGTTTAATTCCGAGTTTACATTTTTATTTTTTCTGAAGTGAAACTGAAAATGTCACGGTTCTTCAAGAACCGCGGTTTTCAAGATTGTGTGCGAGCTAACTGTCGTGGAGGTATGAACCGCGGTAACCGCAAGCCACGGTTAACCGTGTGACCCCTAATACAAACCCATACCTTGACTACACCTATTTCTCCTATATAATCTTTAACCAGTTCAGAAAACAGGTAGAAGTCTGAATCTGATTGGTCTTGGACTACAGCTTCTACTTTCTCCTCTAGCTCAGCTAACTGTGAGAGGGCCCTAGATAAAGCTGTGTGCTCCTCTGCATTGCCCAACATGGCGGCACTTCTTGCAAATGTTGCTGTATGGACAGATAAATCTGAAACACAAAAATGAATGTCACAAGAGTGGTGCTACAATTGGACCTTCTGCATCCAGACTTAATAAGCCATCAAAAAAAAGTAGCTTTATGAATTGACTTTATCGTAAAAAGATACAAAATGTCGGTATGAATAAAACTCAGTGGTAATTAGGGAGCAACCAGCGTAAAGAACAGTCTATATACCTTTCCTATTGTTGACTAAAGATTCTACACTTGCATGTAGCTTCTTCAGCTGGAGGTCCATTGCTTCTATCTGCTGGTGTTTCTCTTCAAACCACTGAAAATAAAGCACAATAGTATTCAATAGTGATCATTCTCATTGTTAAGTAGTTCGCGTGATGTCATAGTACTACGAAGTGTGATGTCATAGGAGTTGAAAATGTGATGTCAAAGTACCAGACAAGTGTGATGTCATTGTACTTAGAAATGAGATGTCAAAGTACCAGACTAGTGTAATGGCATAGTGCTAGACAGTGTTACGACAATGTGATTTTAGTGCAAAGATTGGCCTTGTGTAGGCACTCTTAAAAATCTGAAGAGTATGAAGTTGAAGGGCATAATTCTAGCCAGGGAATATGATACAATAATAACTTTGTCACACTGTAGTTGTAGTTTATTTCCTTAGAACATTACTTTAAGAGTCAACAACAATACAGAAATACTGAAAAACATCACTGTTTATTGAACGAAGTCTCTATTTTAAATCCATGCAAAACTGATATGACAACTAATAAGCCAGTATATACTGACAAAGCAAAATGAAAATGTCTATCTTAAAAACCAGGAAGGACTTTGGATATTTTTATACTACAGTATATTGTTTTAGTTTTGGTGATAGATTTCAAAGGGAATATTCAATTGCTCAGCAAGTAGGGGTAGATTACAAAAATGTATAATCTAATAAGGTGTTTTACCTAATTGTTGTAAGGAATGGAGGAGATTTGTACTATATTTAACTAAACTTTCAAGGATACTGAAAGAGAATAAATGAATGAATGGTGAAATTTTAAATGATATCTGAATTTACAGGTACATGTTATGAATAGTATCTAATCAGAGGCTAAAAGGACTTTAACCCATCATATTTATTTACGATCCTTTGTTTATAATCAGTCAGATATCATCATTCTGCATATTGAAACCAAAATATCTTCAAGGAAATCTTCCAGGATGGGTATCATATGATAATAATGATCTTATTAATAATTTATAACTACAATATGATCAGAATAAAGAAAATATATACATGTCTACAGCCAGACCCCCTCTATATTTCATCCATAAAGATTTTGACCTACCTTCTCTCGAAAATATGCTTTCCGTATTTTTTGATTTTTATAAAAGTAGCCATTTTTTAAAGGCAAACTTCACTGAAAAATTAAATAGTCCCGCCCCTCTGGTGTAATATTATGCTCCCCTGAATTTAAAAACTACCCCCAATGAATACTGGCTTTAAACCTGATGATATTTTCTAACGATTGAGCGTAGCGAATAAGTTTGAAAATTATTTAATACAGGTACTTCACACTGTTTTGATATCAGATTTGGAGAAGGTGTTCTATAGTTTGTTACGGGGGTGTATATTTGAGTATGTTCTGTTCTATTTAAGTGACGACAAACGGTGGTATTGATTGAATGAGTTGTGAGTGATTTATGTTTAGGAAATAGGTTTTGAGTCATTCGGCTTTGTGACGCTAACATGGCAGCATTTGCTAAATTTACCAAACAACTTTAAGGTTAACTGTTTTAAAATATTTTGTCAAATGTATTTTTACTTTGATATAAAGTTAGAAATAGTTTTTGTTTTAAGTAAATTGTGTGTTTCGAATTCTTAAATCCTACAAACGCCAATTTCATCTTAGGGGTAGGTGGACCTCCTTGTATATAAAAACAAAATGTACAAGGTACCTTTCGCACTTTGCAAAAGGGGTCGCCGCGAGGTTGGCATTAAAGAATTCAATTATTAGCCTACAGGGCATAAGTACTGTAAATATAATACTAAGAAATTGTATACAGAGTATGTAAGCAAGGTTTCCGAAACCACATGAATGTAAAATGTAAATTATAGGCAGGAATTGAGATAAAAAGCTGGATAAAAAGCTTTGCCTCCGAGGCATATGGAACGAGTTTAATGTTTGGGCAAGGAGTGACCATATATTTGTTAATTTAATTCATAACTGAGATAAAAAGCTGGATAAAAAGCTTTGCCTCCGAGGCATATGGAACGAGTTTAATGTTTGGGCAAGGAGTGACCATATATTTGATTATTTATAATTTCAGACGAGACTCGTCTCTGAGACGTTTGTGGAGCTATAAAAGATTACTATTTATACATTATAAGATTTGAGATATTTGCCTCCGAGGCTAAATAATGATTTCATTTTGAAATTTGTCAAAAGAATTAAGTCCCATGAATCAATATTGGACTATTATGGAGTTTTTGCCTCAGGAGCATCTGGAGATAAGGAATATTTGGTATTATAAGTTTACCTCTGGAGAACACGTACTTTAGAAGTTAATAGAATCTTAATATATGCCAGGATTATGATCAGATCATTGGACTATTATTGAATTTTGCCTCCGGGGCATATGTAGATAAGGATTGTTTTATATTAAAAGTTTACCTCTGAGGAATAATCTACTTTAGAAGTTGAAAATGTAATATTTACAAAATGTTTTGTATGCCAGGATTATGATCAGATCAATTGAACTAGTATTTAAGTTTGCCCATCGGGGCATCTATGCATAAGTAATATTTAATATTAAAAGTTTACCTCCGAGGGATGTGTACTTTAGAAGTTAATAATATAATATTTAACAAAATATGGATTCATATGCCAGGATTAAGATCATTGGACTATTATTGAATTTTGTCTCCGGGCATCTGTAGATAAATATTGTTTTTATATTATATGACTGTTTACCTCTGAGGAATAATCCACTTGAGAAGTTAGAAAATATGATATTAATAATATGGCTTTTAATACCGGGACTAAGATCAGGCAATTATTGAATATTATTGAATTTTGCCTCCGGGGCATCTGTAGATAAGGATTGTTTTATATTATAAGTTTACCTCTGAGGAATAATCCATTTTAGAAGAATTAGAAAATAATATTAATGATATGGCTTTAAATGCCGGGATTAAGATCATGTCATTGGACTATTATTGAATTTTGCCTCTGGGGCATCTGCACAATATTTGATATAAAACGTTAACCTCTGAGGGATTTAGAAGTTGATTACAGAATATTAATGATATATGGCTTTCTATGCCAGGATTATGATCCGATCATAAGTCCGGGACACCTCCGAGGTGCTGCCCAAAGGGTCATTGTGTATGTGGAGTTTGTATGTACGATATTATCATAGGCCAATAAATAGCGACATAGCGGCACATAAGAGCCAATGCAAATTTATATGGTGGTTGTGTTCTTTTAAGATTTAAGTACGGAGGACCAGTTTTAATATATATTACACTGGGGTTGGGCCAACTGGGATATTTCTTGTATTCATTTTAAAATGAATAAGACAATTCTAGGAAAGATACATAACTACTGGTGCAAATTAAATCATCATACACGGGTTAAAATTAATGACTCACCGCTACGTTGAACTACAAAATAAGAAATTGCTACATAAGGTTATTATGTGTGCAAAGAAACACATCAAGCAAGCCAACAACTTGCCCTCTCACATTAGCATGCAACTAAAACACACAATGCTGACACAACGTTTACACTACAATAACCCAGGCCACTGAAAGCAAATTGTTTTCAATATATGAATCTGATTTTGCCACATTGACTTTTGTCAGGGAGGGTTAGCTGGATTGAAAAGTTAATATAAGAAATACAAAATAAGAGTCAGAGTTACAAAACCTAACATTGTATAATTAAACCAGAACAACGGCAACGCCAAAGCGTAGCGAATCCCATCGAACAGCTATGGATGGCATTTTTACAAACAAAGTATATACCAAAAATGGCAGCCATTTTTCAAAATGGCCGCCTTCTACCAAAAGTGTCATTAAACCATGTGCCATGCTTATAACAAAATCGGTCCACTACTTTTCAAGTTATAGCAAAAAACGTTAAAATGGCGGCCATTTTTCAAAATGTCATATGACAGTGTGTCAAGCTTATAATATTCGCATACCAAATATGAACAAAATCGCTCCACTACTTTTCGAGTTATAGTAAAATACGTTAAAATGGTGGCCATTTTGAAAATGGCCGCCTTCTACCAAAAGTGTCATTAGACAGTGTGCCATGCTTATAGTATTCACATACCAAATATGAACAAAATCGCTTCACTACTTTTCGAGTTATAGTAAAATACGTTAAAATGGTGACCATTTTTCAAAATGGCGGCCATTTTTCAAAATGGCCACCTTCTTCCAAAAGTGTCTTTAGACAGTGTGCAATGTTTATAGTATTCACATACCAAATATGAACAAAATCGCTCCACTACTTTTCGAGTTAGAGCAAAATTCGTAAAATAATGAGTAAAGGCCACCATTTTTAAAGATGGCTGCCATGTGCTTCTTTAATATCTACATTTCTAGCTTTATTAATGTCCTATATAATTTTTTTACATCTAAAACATATTGCTATTACAGTTTTACATATTGCACCTAAATTACTGTAAATTTGGCACTAAAATGGCCGCCATTTTGAAATGAGTGGCCATTTTGAAAATCGGCTTTCGAGCAGAACTTCTACCCCCATAGGGTATATGTGTATAAAATATGAACAAAATCGGGCCAACGGTATTTGAGTTATTGCCCGGACGGATGGACGGACGGACGTACGTACGGACGGACGGACGGACGTACGTACGGACGGACGGACGGACGGAGGCGTTCCCTATATCCCTCCAAACTTCGTTCGATGGGATAATTACTAGCTTATAACTGTTTTTATGCAATATCCAGCTTGTGGAATTGATATGATCAAGACAGAAGTGAATTACACAGTTGTGACAATTTTGAGCAGCTTTACAGGTGACACTTTTAAAATAAGATTGAATACAATAAGAGGGGGACACCAAACAGTTGGTAACAATTAATAATGAATATAACAAGATTTAGATTATCTTGAACAAAATGACTTGTTCATACAATTCAAAAGTACATTTCTTTTAGGAGTATCTTGTACAATAACTTTTAACAGTGCATTTGATGAGCATAGACATATTTCATGACAGGAATAGAAGTAGGCATTGATAATGAGTAGAGATAATGGGTACAGAACATCGAACAAGTTTGCTTCCATAGTTAAAGACTGAATGATATTGAACAACAAATTTGCTTCCATTAGCCTGGTGGACATCTAATGAATATGTTCCCACTACCTGATAATCATCACTCGACTGTTCCCACAGTTCAAAAGGTATAAGTTGGCAAAAATAAGGTTGGAAATAAAATCCAGGTAATCTCTAGAATAAGAGTTTACATATATGGGGTTGCCTATGTTTCAGGTAATTGAACCGCCATATTAAATACCCAGGTGAAAAGCATGACAGTATTAAAGCATGATATATAATACAGTATAGGGAATATACAGTTACATTTTGTGTATTCAAATAACAGCTTAATCATGAATACAAGCTAGAAGCTTATATGGATGATAAAATAGCAATTCAGTCTTGTCTTCACACTGTATTATCTCATCTCCATTAATGAGAACAAATACCCTTAGTATATTGGTCTTCTTTAATAAAATAAGGAATGAACAATAAGTATCCATTATAGGCATCAGTATGTCAGTATTTCATAATTGGCGAATTTCTATTAAATAGTGACAGGGTTCTGAAGTAAGTTTTAGTTTTCTGGTTTTAATTATTCACAATTTAAATCAATATTGCCCAACCCTGATTATCTTTAATTTTGAGTTGGGTTGGTAAGTAACACATCATATACCAAATATCTTAACTCTTCTTTTCCTAGCTAGAGTAGAGCTGATGAGATCATTAGTTTGTTAAAAGTTTACCACTCACTCATTCATGGTCCACAACAGAACTAATAGGATCCCACAATAAGAATATTTTCCAATTTTAATGCAATATCAACAAATTGTGGGACACCTAACCAGAACCCTCAGTTGACTATCTAATACTCAGAATTCTGGAACCCCCTAAATGGTACCTTTTTACTTGATTCAACATTACAAAGAATGATGTATCATCACAATTATTATCATAGTCTAACATCTTCAGATTCTCACAGAGCCAAGAAGAGCACCATTTAGACCATCAATGGAGGGTTTCAATTCAAATTCCATCACCAAATATCACAAAGTAAGCAAAACATTACCTGATCTCCTTCATCCATTTTGAATGTCATTTTACCGACAGAGTCCCCAATTTTGTTGATGAGCCTCATCATGCTAGCACCACTGATGGCTTGCGTGTTGGTGGCCTTGGGGAGGTCGCCTTCTTTCTCAAGAAACTCTCGGAAATCACTGTCATCTCGTAGGATTGGATGAGCAGCTGTACGATTAAGGTATCTAAAATAGAAGTAGAGAAGGATATGGTATTTTGAAATGGTTGATGAGTAAGATGCGGTATCTAAAATGGTAGCACATATAGAAATTGTATTAGAAATGGGAGAATAATAAGATATAAGTAGTATCTGAAATGGTAGAATCAAGTCAGACATAGCATCTGAAATGGTTAAATATGAAATGGTGGTCAGCATAAAATCATAGTTGGTGTATGACATACAGTCTTTAAACAATGTCAGTATGTGGTATATTCTTCCTTAAATGGGATTATAAAGAGCTACAGTACAGTATTAAATGGTTAAAAGGGCTTATTTAGCACACTATAGTATAAAAGAGGATGATACCTTTCTAGTGCTGCTCTCCTGACTTGCACAAACTCCCTGGTACCGGACTCATCTTTGGCCATCTTTACTTTGGTCATTCCTGTAAAAGAAACAGTAAATATAGGCCAGAGTGATATGAAAGTATCATGTAATGAGAATACAAAGGGGGTATACAACAGTAAAATATGAAAAATGGTGTTTAGTTTTTTAAAACTCAAGAATATAGTACCAAGTTCGATGGCACTTAAAGGAGTCTAGATAATCCCAAAAAATAAATAAAACAAGCAAATGCTTTTTAACACTTTTTGGTAACTATTTTGTTTATCAACAATAACATAAATATGTTAACATTATTGAAGAGTTCTTCATTGTTTTACAACACTAGAGATAGTTATGCTGGTCAATGGGATGGTGAATTAAACCAAACTATTTATTCTACTTATTTATATCTATGAGGCTCTCCTGCCCCTTCATTTCCTATTTTTCCATTATATTATCCATTATTATTTTTCCATTATATTATCCATTATTATTTTTCCATTATATTATTCCATTATATATCTCTGACAAGTAGTACGATAATGAATAATTACTAATTAGAGAAGTCAAATCATGAAGCTTAAGTGTTTCTGAACATGGTATACATACCTACTAAACTTTTCTCTGGCGCAGGTGGCACAAGACGTCCAAGATGAAGATGTTTCTGAGCAAGTTTCTCATGCAGGCCTAGGAAATCACTAAATCGTCTCAAAACAGACAATTCAGGAGATTTAAACTCTGGAATGGTGCTCTGAAAGGAGATTGTAGAAAACTGAGGGTCACCTATTCAAATGTTTGTAAAGTCCATTGTTCTCCTACTATGACATGCATTACAACGAATGTATTTGAAACCCCCTTGTCAAAGTACCACTGTTGTTTAAAATGAAAACTTGATGACTTTTTAATAAATTAGGGCATGTTCACTTTTATTATACAGTTAGGTTTTTTGCCATCAACATGACTCAAAGTTCCTACCAAATGAGAATTGGTCTACATAACATTATCTAAGTTATTATCCAGGCGAATTGATGTACAGATGGACTATATATACTACTGTACATAAACTACACACCTTTGTGTTTACGCTGTATGCCATATATGAACTCAATCCATCTCCAACCTTCTGTGGATTGTTGACTGTGATCTCTATGGTAAACTGGTCTCCACTTTCCTCCTCTTCAATCTATAACAAAATAATAACAAGGCATTAACATGCAAAATGTCACAACCTGCCATTTGTTACAGACACAGACTACTGAACACGGAACACCAACCTCAGAATGATCTCCACAAAAAGGTGGAGACTGTATAATACAATATAAATTACAGCTAAAAACTTCTTGAAACCCTTTTTCATAAATTTTCAATATATATTTATACTTGATGATGCATCTTTCCCAGATATCATATTGGTGGTTAGGAAATTGGATGAGCTCGTTGTAAAAAATGCTTGACATGTATATGTAACTCCAAAGTAAGAATCAAGAAAAAAATGTATGAGACTATATAATACAATATAGGACAATGTAATTACAGCTAAAAACTTCACGAAATCCTTTTTCATATAAATTTTGTACATGTCTTTATACTGTATATGTATGTTTGCAATTCAAATGAGAAGATCAAACTCAACAAAGCATTATTCATGTTTCAAATATGCCCTTGTGTTTATCTGAGCCTCATCAGGAAATAAAAAGGACAAGGTAAGGACCTGCTCAGACATGTTAAGTCATATTTTCTTAGTCAACAGATTGTAGTAGTTTATTAGACTGTGGTGAACCTCAAAAACCTAAAAGCCTATTGAGCATCCCATATAAGATTTGCACATTGTAGAATATTAATATTGTTAAACTGACCTCATCCTGAGTCTGAGCCTCTGGCTCCTCCTTTGGTGCAGAAGGCTCCTCTTTGGGGGTTTCCTTTTCAACAACAGGTGTTTCAGTTTTTAACTCGGCTGCAGGTGGATCACTTGCTTTCTTCTCAGCTGCGATTGGATCACTTGCTTTCGTCCCTGGTATCTCATCATCAAGTGTTATTTCAGTTGTATCCCCTAAAGTTAAAAATGGCTGATTATGAATAAAATTATGAATGATATACTGAATGTTGTTTACATATAGTATTCCTCAAGAGAATACTCATTTACATTGTACAATTGTATTATTGATGAAACTAGATAACGGCAACTCCGCGGAGTAGCAAATCCCAACGAACAAAATATCAATTACCGAATTCCAATCAATTATACTCATTACTTTGGTTGAAAATGAAAAAATTAGATTTTAGAATTGCGAATTCCTGCAAAGCAGCCATTTTGAATTTTCTGAGGTACAAATCTGAAAAATAATACCATAATTCTGATCTACTCCAAAATTCCTTCAATTTGAGTATAATATAGCCATACTTTGAAGGGATCGAAAAATTATTGCGAAATCGTACATTAGACAGCCATTTTGAACTTTACGAGGCTCCAATCAGAAAAAAGATACAATATTTGCAATCTACTCTTAATTGCCTTTCATTTGAGTATAATAAAGCTATAGTTCAGAAAGATCTAAAAATTAGCGAAAATTTCTGTTTTCCTGTCCCCCAATACATGGCCCCTGGGGGTCAGGATGAAAAACACAGAATATATGTGAAATAAATAAATGTTGTGAATACACTACCAAAATTTCAAACAATAATATTAATTACTTTGGTTTAGAATGAAAAATTTATGATTTTTGCGAAAAAGTCCCGTCATTTTTAAAGCGGCGGCCATCTTGAAAAAAATTTTTTTTGCGTAAAACTATTCACCAATATACATCTTTCCACTAAATATGAAGAAAATCTGTCAGCTAGTATTTGAGTTATCTTCCGGACAGACGGACGGACTGACGGACAGACGGACTGACGGACAGACAGACGGACGGACGGAGGGCTTCACTATATCCCTAACAAACTTCGTTCGTTGGGATAATTACTAATAGGTAAAGGCCAAAGTTTAACATGTATAGTTCAGCATATGACACAAATGACATTTCTTCTACAATATAAAAATTTATGAATACAAAAGGTTTGGAAGTCTTTCCAAATGGAATTGAATTTCACTTCAGTCAAATTTCTTACCTGTTGCAAAGATATCTTCAGGTTCTTCTTTGTCCTTTTCTTTTGCCTTAAAATAAAAAATATAATTCAGATATCATTATTGTCATCAAGGGTCTGATTAAATTTCATAAATAATATTATTCAGGACATTATAACTGGACATGTCTCGAGAAATCTTTGTCATATTTTAACATATACATATTATATATTTCATTTTTCAGTAGTTTAAAATCTAATTTCACTGTGGTAAATGGACATATAAGATGGCAAAAAAGTCTTCAAGTGTGGTTAGTCATGCTAGATCTTGAATACGAACACGTAACACACCAATGGGATAGTAGAATTATTTGTTTGTTATATGAGTTGATTTCTCAGATGTTATACAATTTCCCTCTTGTTAAAACAACATTGAATCATAATAATGTCATGATGGTAGGCTGAGAGGTCTGATTTGAAAAAAAAGTGTATTTTCTGAGCAGAAAAGGTATATACCATTGAAACCAGATGATGAGAGTTACAAAATCTAACACTCATTTATCTAACTTAGAAACAACTGAAATTGAAAAAGTATAGTTTTCCATTGTGTATACATGTACATAAAGTTGCTATGGACATACGGTTTTAATCAATTTTCACCAAAATTTCAAAATCAATAACAGGTAGATATTCATGCTTTATTTTCCTGCATTACATTACATGTATTTACACATCTAACTCCCATGCTCAACGCCTTTTTACCCCCACGCGCTATGTGTTTTCCCCAAACCCCAGTGCAATAATGACATTTCACTATATTGTATTAGTTTTGGAACTCAGAGATAAGGTAGCACTTAGGAAATGGAATTACCTGGTCAATTTCAGTACTTTTCCCCAAATTTGATAAGTGTGACTATTCTGTCCATAAATTAAAAGCTCAAAACAGTATTTGGTAGTCTTCTTCAATGAATCATTTGTAAAATTATAACAATCAATTTGTTCCACTATCTGCATAAATTCCATAATTAGGCCTAAAAAATACATTCAAGATAGGGGTCCTGCGTTGAACTTCAACATTGTGTTATTTGTCAGGGAGCTATTTCTACCATAGGGCTATTTCAGAATTGACTTAGTCCTGCATGCCAATGATTGTTCAGGCAGTGTTTCTACAACGGGAAACATTTCGGCACTTTTCAGGACGTCGGAAGGGGAATCCCCTAGATACCAATGGCCATCTGGGAGCCAATCCTTCTTGAGCCTAGATTGAGGAATCTTGCGATAAAAAATGAAAATTTCCTCGTTCTGCCGATTAACCCTTAGGATTATAGGGAATTGACTACATTAAACTAATTAGAATTCTTTTTATGCAGTTGAATCTACATCCTCCTAAGCAGGTGTCCAGAATCCGTACCTCCTTCTTCCCCCCTGCTATAAGCAGTTAGCATTTCTCCGATTAAGAACTGGCAATTTGATTGGCTGTCGCAACACTGCGACAGCAATCATGTATACGTCATCAGCGCATAATTAGATCACGTGATTCAGTTTAACCGGGCGCGTCCAACTTGGTTATAGCAGGGGGTAAAAAGAAAGAAGATATTCTTGATTTTGAAGCCCTGTGATCGGAGGATGTTGAATCTGCAATTGTACAGGTTAATCGTCAGAAAGAGGAAATTTTTGTTTTTAATCGCAAAATTCCTCCATCTAAAAGGGGATTCCCCTTTCGACATCTTGAAAAGTGCTGAAATATTCCCGATGTAAAACAAAAATCTCTTTGTTCTGCCAATTAACCATACATTCGGTGATTCAACCGCATTAATAATCCTTAAATACTCAGGAATGTCACGAGGTAGGTATTTCAAATGTGCAGTGCGTAATACTTTCTCCAACGTTACGTTAAAGAAACAATGACTGACCAATGGTTCGAGCGTACGACCACAAACGAAAGTGGGATCGTATCATACAATAAGCCTCATGATGAAGTTACCCCACACATCACCCTACAAATACTCCCCTGAAATACAGATGCAAAAGTTTTTGAATTGCTTGTTTTGGCTACGAAATATGTAGACTCTTGTATTTGATGAATCACAGCCATGTTATTTTAGAAACTCAAAATAAGTACCCGATATTGATTCGTTTATAACTGAATGTGTTCGTTATTTATGAAGAAACCAGGAAGCCGAATAATTTTTCCATTTTAATTTTGGGTCAATCCGTTATTGATGATTTTGGAAAAAATAGCAAATACCTGGACCAAATTCTTACTTTTTATGATACATTAAGTCCTATTAAATACATACATCTGTAGATGGGGGGAACAGATCCTCTGGCTCGGCAGATTTTGTGTCTTTTTCATCATCATCGAAAAGTGGGGGAGGGTCTCTGTCGTCGGCCATTTTTTCTGTCACGTGACCAAGCTAAGTAAATGGCGGAATAGGAGGAATCACGAATATTGAACCGTGCGCTGAGTCACAAGGTGATATCGTATTGTTCTATTCTGCATGCTCTTAGATTGAAGCTGTTTTCCTACTCACAATATTCTAAAATTGAAGCAATTTTCGTCAAGATGATGACTAAGATGATGCTGAATACCTGTTACATCTGATTCTTCTTTTATTAACGCTCCTCTGTACTGCTTTCCAATGTCCGAGCAATTGCAGGTCCGCAATTGTTAAATCAATTATCTGTATTCACATTGTTCTGAGGAAGTATCACTTTCAAGGCGTTTGACAACCTCCATATGAACCCCGGCCGGGATATCACGGGACACTTTCATTAATATTTTCTATTATTACAGATCCGGACTAAAATTACACCCGTATGATGCGAGACTCGACATTCACCTGGAAATTAGAAATATTTTGCCACCTTTGAAGCAAATTAATTTTTACTGCTTTATGAATGGTGAATGACAGTCACATTGAGTTCGATAAGTATGAGAATAGCATGACGGTCTTGATATTTCAACTTAGGTAACCCGTTTCAGAAAAGTGATGTCGGTGATTGAAATAACGATGTAAAGATAAACCGCAACGAAATTTGTGTTTCGGAAATATGTGACGTATATTTTTTAGTTCTTCAAAGAAATCAACAAACATTCCGTTGCGGTTTTATCTTTACATCGTTTTTTCAATCACTGCCATCACTTTTCAAACGACGTAACCTTTAGAGGCTGACGGTAATTCCGGTTATACGGTTTCGGTACGGAATTGAGCATTTACCGGTATTGAAATTATTAACCGGTTAACCGACGATAACCCCCGGGGAAATAAAAGACACGTTGTTTTTTTAATTATTTCGTTTAATTTCCACTTTCACGATGCGTACATTTACATAGACATTTAGATGCCCATGTTCGGCAGTTCAGGTGTGATTTCCATGTTTGACAGTTCAGCAGTGATGTCCATGTTTGGCAGTTCGGGTGTGGTAGCTTCATGCTCAGGCTCAGATTTGGTTGTAGTTATGTTTGGCAGTTCCGGTGTAGTTGTAGTGTCAACGTCAGATCCAGAAACTGAATTATGTTTGTAATAGTCATTTACGAACAACAAGGCATTGACAACCTCAGGTTGAAGTCGTGTCCGTTTGGAAGTGATGGTCTTGCCATGCCAGCTGCACTGAACCGACGTTCACTTGACACGGATGACGCAGGAATAGCATGATATGTTTCAGCCAAACTCGCCACATCAGGATATTTTCCTCCGTTTACTTTCCAAAACTCAAGACAGTCAATAAAGTTGGATGCTGATGACAAATAGCTGTCCAATTGTTCACTTGGCTCGTCTTGGTCGTCATCCTGGGAGATGTCAATGACGTCAAGCATTTAATTTAAAACTAAAAATACATCTTGATTCGTAAGATAGTTACAAACTATTTCGTGAAGGTCATCAGTATGGGTTCAAATCGGTCTTGCAACATGTATGCATATAGACTTGAGAAGCTTCGGAGAGAATTAGGAACAAAGTGGGGGTGACAGAGCATTGGCATTTTATCTTACATATTTTTACCGGTATTTCGGTAACGCTACGGTTATTAGCGTGACGGTTACCGGTACTGGTTTTCAGTACCGTTGCGACCTCTAGTAACCTTGAAATATCAAGACATCATGCTATCATGTCTCATACTTACAAAACTTAATTTGGCTGTCATTCACCATTTATTAATTAAGCAGTAAAAATAATTTGCTCCATGGGTAATAAATTATTTCAAGTTTCCTGGTGAATGTCGAGTCTCACATCATACGAATGTAATTTTAGCCGATCTGTCATGGGGTGCTATTTGAGCCAACAAAAAGTAATTCCAAAAATGAAAATGAGGATTTCAGCAAGGGCCATTAAATTAACATGGGGATAAAATTGACTTAAAGCTGCATATCATCATGCATGTCATCATTGGGATATGCATGTAGATACAAAATCCTCATGATCCATTCTGATACTCATAACATCTTTCTGTTTACCTGAAACATGATCTCAGGGCTGAGAAAAATGAGATGCCATGGTTTATCATGACTGTGCTCATTATCACGGAAGGGCTAAGTTTATCGAACCTCAACAAGTAGATTCATGTGGGAGAGTATTGGTAGAATCCATTTCAGTCAAGTGGGGTCGAATAGTAAGAATATGGATTCTGAAATAGGACATTCAAGCTTACTAAGGCCTTTTGAAAATTGTGGTTAGCTCTAATGCTAGAAAACAAACGTGCACGTTACATCATCCGAACACTGACGAAAAAGAAAAAGTATATATTCCAAATCTTGGAGCCCTGCGATAGGAGGATGGCATTTAAGACAAACATGATTTCATATTATTTTTTATTTGTTTCACAGCTGTACATACAATGTAACAATGGCACCCATATATACGGGCCTATTACAGATTTATACGGATCGTTTTATGTGCTACTGAATGATACAAAGACAATTTAAAAAGCACATATGATAAATACATTGATTTTTAGTGAAATTATACATTTCACTTTTTAAAATTGTCTACCTTAAATCATCTCAGTCGTGTATGTGGACATGGCACAATGGCATGTTTTGTTTTCTCTCACAAAAATGTAGAAGTATCTTATATAGCTTATGTAAAGTTGTTAAACCTCGCCATTTTGATTATATTAATAAAAAATCCATCTTTGTTATAGATATTTCCGGGAGTATACTACGTGTTTATATATTGACAGCTTTATATACTCTTGACTTATAGCCTCTACCGTGATATTTTTGCGACATATATCTAGGTCAATACTGACAATTTTCCTCAGATTCGTTTCACATTATGCGAATGCCAGGAATCTGAAATTATCAACGCTGTAAAACAATATTTGATAATTTAATCCATATCTCAGAGGATACAGATATTTGACAAATTATATATATACGTGGTAAAATCTATAAGTATACATGTATAACTAAAGTATGACTTATCAAACAATACTTAAGGGAGCAAATCTTCACATTATCATGTAGAGTTGTTATATACTCGGCAAAAGATGGCTCGATGATATTTCTGAAACTAACATAATGATGGTCTCTGGCTATGACATAACAAGATTTCAGCTCCAGAATATACCAATTTCGTAATATCACACTTTTGCCAAATAGAAAAATATATATTTCAGTTTTTACCTCAACATGAGAGATTAAAAAAAATGAAATTGGAAACACAAGTTTTTTGCTTGAATATGAAATATTCATTGAATTTGTAATGAATATTTTTATATACTGTACAATTATTACAATAGTCCGGTATCAATCCGATTTCTTCCAGATCTCTGCTCATAATACCTACGGTAGTCCCTAAAACTCCTACAATATATATATATACGAGGCACTATATAATGCACTACACTGTTGCTCATAAATATGGAATATTTTACAATTATTAATTGTTTGGTATAATTCTTACAAATGGTAAAAATAAGTTAAAAGATGTTTATTGCCTCCCGATTTTCTCCTCATATTTTCACATAAAACTGATTGTTATTAAAAGTAGCTCGTGGAGGTGGTTCTGTTCATATTTGAGGTGGTGTTCACCAAGGAGAGTCGCACCCCCTTGGGAGTCGGGGCAATCTGCGCGAGATTCGGTTTTTACTTGGTTCGGTTTTTCATTAAAGGAAGTACTTCATTCCCATGATTCAAAGTGCTTTTCTGCCATCGGTTCGGTTTAAGTTTGTACAACACACGTCTACAAATCCGGGGCAGGTTGATATTATGTCATTACATTTGTTTTGGGTGTATACTTTTTGTTTTGACACTAAACAAAAATATTCCCGCACTATATGGTGCATCATGGGTAGGGACTGCTGTGAAATAATGAACGTAAGTGACATCTATCTCAAATTAAATGTTCTTTTTCAGCTATTAATTGCGCATGCGTGATAATAATTTTAACCAATTAAATTGCTGGATTTAATGCGCATGCGCCAAAAACCGAACCAAAAAATGGAATCTCGCGCAGATTGCCTCTAGTGCCCCTTGGTGAGTCTCAACTGTAATGTCAGCGGTGAGAGGTACGGTGACCTTTTGGATCTACATCTAGTACCACATGCAAATAGAGTATTTGGGCGTAACTTTAAACTGACAGTGAAATTTGTCACATGGATCCCCTATCTCAAAATTTAGCAGAGTTATATACTCCTCTGATTGAGTAGTGGGGCCTTATGTCGCGTAGACAGGTCAGACATATCATTGACAGCAGGCCCCGCGGGATGGATACTCTGATTGCAGCACTAGGAAGAAATACCGCATATTAGTGCTGTTATGGGCTAGAGGAGTAATTCATCTTCATGACCTGGTGTTTAGTTTGTTTGATCCACTTTACATTAAAATTTGGATCGGGGTGTTTTGAAAATGCAAAATTTTTTAGACTACCCCATTTTAAACGCCAGCAAATTTTCAAACTTAAATGTAAATATTTTTTCCCTAAAAGATGTTGATTTGTAGATTAGATATGTGTTTATGATTTGCCTAGAAAATTATTTGCTTAAACGACTCTAAATAAAAGTTGTTTTCATCCAAAACTTGAATTCTTATCTGACAAATCTAATATTCCATATCTATGAGCAACAGTGTATATGCTCTAACTTTCTTTAATATTCTTCAATTCAGCTTGAATTTTGTATATATAACAATTTAAGTTTTATCTATTATATCCTGAAGTTTCAGCATCAAACATTAATATTAAGTCTCAATATGGTTGCTATAGCAACATGGGGTAGGGGTGGGCGGGGCAGGCACCAATTTTTCTAATTATGAAAAGAACTAAAGTGTTATTTTATAAATATTTCTTTCCTTTAAATGGTCAAAATGTTTGGGAAATTGTTAAATTTATTCAACATGATGTTAACAAAGTACAAATAATGACATTTAGCACTGTGATGTCATAATACCACATTTCAAAAGTCACGAATTCAAATACAGTCACAGTCAAGAAATTGCAAAAATGGCTGCAATTCTTACCTGATAACAAAAGGCCTTGCGTTTGGTGGCCTAATTTCAAACTTCACTTGGACTCACAGGCATGCAAAACTTATGCTACCATGAAGAAAGTATATAAGGAGTATATACCAGATAGAACTACAATTATGGGGTGGCAGAATAGATTTAAAAGAGACTATTTGACCCTGGATGACGACTCCAAACATGGGAGGCAAAAACTCCACAAGTCACAGTGGAAGAAATTGCCAAGAGTGTTTAACCTGACAGGCATCAAAAGTACATAACATGCAAAGGGCAATATTTTGAGAAAATGTGAAATGGGACACTGTGCAATATACATCCATTAAATCTAGGATGTGCTCATAGTAATTTAGTATAAAATGTATTTTTGAGCATGCTTCTTATAGCTACACAAAATGGTATTTGTTGATTAATTATTTCATATTTTCAATTTTTTATTCCTTTTGACGTGACTGTATAACCTGCCCCGCCATACCCAAACTCACCAACTTGATTTCATTATAACATCAACATAGTTTTATCAGTCAACATGAAATTTTTCAGAATAATCAAAATGTCTCTAAGGAACATTTACTGAAAATTTCATGGAAAAATATCAATTATTGATTAAATTAGAGCATATAGTGCATTACTTCTGGGACAACCCTCGTATAAGTTATATCCACGTACATGTAGTATGGAGTAAGGTTATCTGTACTACAAGCAAGGAACTCAAAAAGTCCATAATTTTGATTTAAAATAAGTAAACTATGCATTTTCACGTCAGTAGAAAATACAGGCTGTTGTCATTTTGAAAAGTTGGCTAAGTCGATGTAACCCCTCTATATCACACCAAACTAGTTCTTACCCGTTCTTGCCAGTCCTACGAAAATGTCGTAAAACGGGCTCGATCTGGCTGCGGTCGGGATATATGTCTAAAATAATTAGCTACTTCGTTCATAAACAGTCTTCAATACGTCCATCACGTTCGCAGTTCGTTCAGGTCGCACCACGACGGTGTGCAACGTAGTATAAACCGTCCCTTAGTCTAGAAGGTCATCATGACCTGATTACAGAACGGTATGGTCGCCATCGAATTTTGAATCGATTCAAAATTCTAAATCACATACCCCGTCCGGGAAAGTCCATGAAGTTCGTAAACAGAACGTAGAACGTTGTAGCTACGTTCATTCAGTTCGCACACAGTTTAAAACCGATTCTGCAACGTTTTGATGATCACCAGAAAATGTTGAGCATGCTCTAAGTGCTGGAGGACCTACTCGTTCTAGTAGTTTCATGAAGTTTGTAAATAGATCCCAAACGGTTCTTAGTGGGTTCTTAGTACGTCAAATCCGTTCGTGCACAGTTTAAGCCCGTTTTCGAGAACGTAGTGAGAACTAGTTTGGTGTGATAGTAGGGTTAGTTAGAATAGCTTGTTATATACCAAAACAATTCAAATTACAATAAAATTATATTTAATGATTTTTGATGGCGTACAGTGAATGCTTCAGTAAAAAGACCTAGATTCTGATTATAAGAACATTGTTATAGATTCGAAGAAACCGAATTTGAATTCAAAACGAAATGTACTGCGTTCTCTGATGATACACGCATACCTTATGCCGTGGTCACATTTGCTCCGATTTTCACTACGGCGACCGGCCGATTGAGTATTTTGTTCAAAGTTGAATACAATATTTAGCGCCGGTCGATGGATCGGAGCAAATGTGACCTAGGCATTACATGGGAGTAGTTTGGCGGTTATATTTCTTTTTCTTCTGATGTGGTTATTTTTTGCCCACCCCTATAAAATTGTTTCGTTCGATTGTCAAAATTCAAGAGTTTTTGAACTGGCTTATACTGCAATGTATGTAATGTTTGTATTGGAAATGTTCTTAGAATGACATTACACAAGCCCATATTACACCCGCCCTGTCTACTAAACATAAAAAATGCTACGTGCATCATCGACGTATAATTTAGCTAGTAGGGCACCAATCGTATCATGTAAACCTTGTGATGACGTTTGCCTTACACGTAACTCACTGAGTCATAAAAGGTGTGAACAAACTGTCCTCTCATCCTTCTTCAAAGGACTTCATTTATGCTTAAATTCAGGGAAGATGTAAAATACCCTTGTACCAAGGATGTATATCCCACTTATCTTTATATTGTTCCACAAACATTCAGTTGTTGCCTCTACCATGATAGCATTCCACTTCATTTGCGAATTTAACTGCCGGTTGACGGGTGACGGATTAACCGACTATTGTATGACCAACTCATTTAAATATGGACAGTAACTGTCACTGTTTCATTCATACTTAAACGAGTTGACAATAAAAAGAAGATTAGACCGTCAGTCGTTGGTTGATTTCGCGAATGCTACCAAAGACATTTAAGACTGCAGTCGGTTTTGAGGTCGGTATATTGAGACTACAATTCCTAATTTAACTCGTTCATTAAACTGACGTATATTTTTTCGTTTGGAGGTAGAATGGGTTAATCACCAGATTCAGTGTGTGTAGTTTTTTAATATAATCATTATCATGGATCCTGGGATCAGTACGATCTTTTGATAAAACGTCACAAGCTATTGCATCCAAGTTAGAGTGACATCAAACGCATATCGGTTAACAGGACCTGCTAATATACACGCGCGACTGAAGTATTGTCTACGATGTAATACCAGAAGTAGACGCTTCGGGGTCGCTATACTCGTTGCGTGCACCACTTTCCGACCATTTATCGTACTTATTTGTGGTATCTTCCAAAATGAATGGTTTTTGAGCTGTTTCATCTAAGTGGCGATATTCCTGTTTGCGTCTGATAGCAATGCATAGTATTGCAAAAGCAATTAGAGTAAGAAGTATCATCCATATGATTAGAACTATTTGTACAATTGGGTTCACCAGTTCACTACCCCATGCATCCTTGTCAGAGACGGCAGCTTTAATATAAATAAATCATGCGAGTTATAAGTTAGTATCCTTCACGTTACTTACGTTACAGTACTTCATAAATGCTTTATTATTTAACTCCGAGTGTTATTAAAAACAATAAAATATGCATGAAGAAAAATCTAGAAAAACTACTGTGCATTTATAGAATAGAGTTAATTTACTAATGATTCATTGAGTACAAAAGTACGCACCTGTTTTAGGTATGTTTTCTTCGGATTCTAGAAAATAAGAAAATAATTCTTTCATCAATTGCAAGAGTAGCCGACGAGAGAATCTTTTCTTTATCTCTAAGTTAAAATTAATTGCATTAATAGCAATAACAGTCGCATTTAATACGACCCTCAAAACATTCAAATCTATGATGTGTCGATGAATGTATATGTAGATAGCGCCAGTATTTTTTAGTAAATGTGCTTCTGTATTCTCATTTTCAAATAAATCGTGACATATAAAGGGCGTTAGAAATAATTGTATATAAAGATGGCAGTACATTCATTCAACGTCTAGATCTTATATATCTTACTGCCATCTTTATATCGGCCTAAAACCTACGAACGCATTTGATAGCATCAGTTACCTTTCACACAGAATACTCCTTCTTCTTTGTAGCCCTTTTCACACCTACACTCAGCAGCTTCATTGGTACCTTTTCTCACAACGCATTCAGAGTGCGCAGCACCAGAATTACATATTGCGTCATTATCACACGCCGTGCCCAACACTATGAAAGATACATGTACAATGTAAGATAACTTACAGAATCAAAAATAGAACCCGAGGCACAGGGATACTAAGCAAATGTTTCATTCTATTGAGGGCAATACCTGTTCATCTTGCAATGATTTTTGACAGGTCGTATTGCCCGAACATATAGAATGAAATATTTGTTTTATTATATCATTGCTATAAATCCACTACGGTCACTTTGCATTTCAAAGAAATATAGAATATTTGTTTTAACCCATCAGTTAACATAACTACGTACAAGTATCATTATAGTACACTTTTATTCGAGACACTACTCGTCATTTTTGAAGTCACGGGGTACATTGCCAGCTTTTGCAGACTGCACGCATGCGACCAAGTCTCGTTTACAAGAACACATGCATAATTGGACCCCCTTTAACATATTGAGTAGGGAGTACCCCATGGCTCATTACAGCAGCAGGGTATTATTAACATATTGAGTAGGGAGTACCCCATGGCTCATTGCAGCAGCAGGGTATTATTCATCGCGCCCTGGCTACTTTTCATCAAGTACCCAATGGCCATGTTTTTCTACTTACCACCTTTCGTGTTCGTAGAACTAGGAGCTACCGCTGTTGTATTTGGTTTAGCAGTGGTAGAAGTTGTTCTTCTGGGACTTGGATATTTCCAAGAGTCTGCAATTAATTGTTATTAAACATTGTATCATCTCAAAATAAAAGATGATAGAAAACGATGCAAATATCGTGTCTGGATCAGCGCAATCAAGAGTCTATGTGGCATCGTAAGTATTAAAAGCCTATAACTTATAAGAGCCATACGAAGACGAACCGATGACATTTCAAATTACCCAGGCCAATGGAGATGGAAATCTTAAAACGCCGTACAGGGCGATAGAGCATGCCACAATAATTATATCAAGGCAACCTACCCATGTCAATTATGACTCCAAAGCTCCACTCCCAGCGCCATACACCAGCGTAAAATTTTACAGTTTCCCCACGGAGAGGATAATCCACATCAGTGAAGTTATCATGCTTTATTCGGCCATATTGGTAGCGAATTTTGCCAGTCGGGTTCTTCCATAGTAAAGGGGGAGTGGGTGATTCACTGACAAATCCTATGACGTCACCCTCTAGTACTTTCCATTCATGCATGAATAGGTCTACCTGGCAACGTATCATATGGTGAATATTTCAGAAAACTGCCTCTTGGACCAGGAATTATATTACGAACATAGTTTGAACTCGATCATTGACAATATGCGGATATGCTGAATTAATATTGATATAATACTGGTTGACCCCAGGAATTGATCACTAGATATTCAAATAACATGTTTTAGATGTATGATGACGGGGTGGTTGTATCGCCAGAATTTTAAATTCCATGTCTGCTGCTGGGAAATACTGTAGGTTCAAACATGAAATGCAGATTCCCCATAGCGGACAAATATGGCGATCACACTCCGTGATAATGGAGACTTTTAAATGACTGACTGCGTTGGCTCCGGGAACTGATCATTACTGCTTAGTAGCATTACTTTGGTGGTCTACATTTTGATATTACCTCGGCAACCTTTTTATAATAAAATTGTTGCAGGATTACCTCAGTGACAGTTCCCCCATATTGATGATACACGGCCTGTTCAAAAACTAGGGTATAACTTCCGGATCCACCATCAACATCCTTGTTAGGTCGCCATGCCTGGATCCTGATTGGATTATTGTTTGCCCAATATAGCCGGAATTTGATGACTGCGCATGTCGGAAGCTCTATATATGGTAAGAGGTAGATCCTAGGTGCGCGAAGGTTAATGGGTTGTTCCGTACCAGGCTCGTCTGGATCCCAAACCTTACCAAGAAACTTCTGAGATCCTGATTTGTATAAATTAGGTGTAGCATGGAGTAAAACAAAGGAGAAAATGTAAGTGGAGTTGAGATTGTACGCACATGTACTTTCGTTTCAGAGCATGAATCCAGAGCAATGCAAACATTTTGTTCACTTGATGTGTCAAGTTCTGATTAGTAATTCTGTTTAATTGGCCAATTCTTTTTTTTCACTTAAAATAAGAATGAGATTACCATGTAAAATACAACCTGCAATCTTCTATTAAGAATTCCCAGACGTCTCTTTTTGTTTTATTTTTGACGTCTCTTTTTGTTTTTATTTTGATATGAATTCTAATTAATTATGCAAACTAGCTGAACTAATTTAATGTCTTAGATTTTAATCAAAGCAGACAACACCAGTGAGACCTCAATCTATGGTATTGTATTTATCCTGGTGGTCCAACGCGCCTCAGAGTATGACGTATCTCAAAATTCAGTTTACAATAATTTGAAGTATTTTTGGACGACCCTCGTACAAGTATGGTGAAGAACAATTTTCTCTAAAGTTTAAACAGGTACCAATAAAATACTATTCAGATTCAACTGATCTTATTTATCAGAATTTCTCGACAAAAAAAACGTTCGTCCAACTATGACCCGAGCATATGGGTTATAAATAATACTATGATTAAGGGACCTAAACACCAATCAACTACTATAACTGAAAGCAAGCTACCATGACCAAGCAGATAAGATATAAAAATATAGTTTGGGCAATGCATGTATCTTTCACGAAACTATGCAGTGAAAATAATAGATTTTAATAAATCGACAACAGGTCGTCGTGGCTGTACAATACACGGTATCCATCATTCATAGATAAAAATCAGCATTTTCGTTACTTTTTTACTCCTTCCGCCTAACGAATTCATTCGTTCTTCCACAATAGTACTGTTGACAATTTCATCCCCCTCCTTAGGTTTGGCAACTGGAAGTTTTTATACGTATTTCGTAAATTCATCATTTTGATTTTGATTTTTCTAATTCGCCGAACATAACCAGGCTTTGATCAAAAAGAGGCATTGGGTTGCGAAACTTATAATGAGGTAATGAGGAGTGTAGATGTCATCCCTTGGGATACAGCAGAGTACGCAATGACAAACCATGTTTTTTCAATAGCTTCATATTTATTTTGTATTCATCAATATATTCATTTTTAATGTTCACTTAATATTCAAAAAGTACAACAATACAGTTCTTTCAAATCATATGATATATTGTATGTGACTTGAATAATATAGGATATATAATTGTAAGTTGACATTTTGAGACACAGTGGAGTAAAGTAAAAACTTTATACAAAATACGAAATCTTCAATCGTATATCAAACATAAACGAAACCTTTATTTGTATGTCAAACGAAATTTTTATTGTTAGTCAAATTGAAATATTCAATCGTATGTCAAACAAATTTAAAATCGTATGTCAAACGAAATATTTGTTCGTATATCAAACGCGATGTTCAATCTTATATCAAACGAGTATTATTAAGGTAAAACAAACATATTTATGATATATATTTTATGTACAATAATCTTCCGTGTATTTCCATACTCCAGGTAACTGTATAGCAGACTTTAACTTTACTAAAAATAAGAAATAAGCATGGTCTGCTCTATGTATGGAAACCATGATTATTTTAAAATCACACAGTCTTCAAATTGCATCGCCTTATTTCCAATTTACAGTAAACTAAAATATAAATTCAGGCTTACTAAATATTTACATATAATCTCTCCATATTGCATAGGGTACTAAACTGCTTCGAGCATAATGTTCGTATACAAAACTGTCCTTGTATTATATGACAACTGTCGTTTTAATGTCTATTCCGCTTTCTTAGGTACTTTGCTAGATTTACTCCAAATAACCCAATAGCACACCCGTTAAACTAGTCACACGAGTTGGGAGTTCGAGATCCTAGATAATGAAATCATTTACTTAAGTATTAAAACGAAGCACGGTGTATGGTCTCGCATTTTATAATATTATATACTAAAAATGCTCTTAAATAAGTGCAACGTTGTTCTCCCAACTCGCAACTATCAATTTCGAGTAGGATTAAAAGCTTAACGGTAGTGAATATAAGGCAAACGTATGTAGTGTTCAATGTTCATGCACTGGTCAGAACAACAAACCAATCGACCATAGCGTTGTTAAGGTAACTGCAAGAATGCCATCTTTAAGCAGGTTGAGTTGAATCTAGAAAATGTAAGCGAATGTCTATAACAGAATATGAACGTGTCCCTTTAGTCGTCAAAGGAATCAGATCGTCTGTTATCCACAACCACGTCTGAAAGCAAAATTTTTACAAGCTTTCGAAGCAAAATATATTGAAAAGCATAATGACCAATGGCCCGTAATTCCCTTGAAACCATCATAAATATCAGGTTAATATAGCATCATTTTTGTAGAAAAATGTATATTTAATGTACACTATAACACGTTATCAGTTTTGGATTTGACAATCTTATGAAAATTATGGAAGCTATTTAGAATGAGGAAAACATAACCAGTTGGAAAATCAACGGCTCCGTCTTGCAAATAGTCCAATGAAAGGAAAACTGGAGGATCGTGAATTAACAAGTACGTCCCATAAAACTGCGATATAAGCGCTAGATTACGGATTGTGTTTTCATTGGAAGAAGCAAAAGTAAAGCATATAAGAAAACATTTCAAACGTTTGCCTTAATATGTCGTTAACGTGACAAAATTCCTCTTTTATGGACGGTACATTATCATTTATTTAATACTTGTAGCCCTGATTGTATGCGTTAGTTATCGTACCAGTAGGCTCGTTCTCATTTGTCACCATGCTGTTAACGATTCCAACATCAGACTTCTGTTCCTCTGGGCCACCGCTCGAACCATATTCACCATTTTGTAAATCATTCCAGGAGTAGTCCTTTGAGCGAAGGCTCTCGATGTAAGGATTCTGACGACGAAGGTAGTCAATGTAGAACTTCCTCTTCTTCTCAGACTTCCTCCTGCTGAGGACACAGCAACATAGGATGAGGAGGAACACAGTGATGACGAAACACCAGGCGAGGAGGACAATCACAACAATGGGGCTTAACAGCTCACTGGCCCATGGGGAAGTCTGTTCACCTGTCAAATAAATAAAGAACAGTACATTTAGAGCCAATGTTATATAATTATTATATATTTTACAGAACCTATTGAATCGGTTATTATTCCTTGAGCATAACCGAGTAGATCTATTTCAATTGATATTGATTGGTCTTCATAGAAAGTAGGGCAATTTCAGTTTTGTATTGAATTACAAGCATACCAGACAAACCAATTCTTAACCGAAGCAATTATTTTGATGTTAATTATCAGGCATTACCTGAAGCAGTAGTGCAAAGCGTACCTTGAAACCCTCACTAAAGTTTATATTTACACCAACTTAAAAGTAGGGTCCACAACACATTTTATATTAACTTAAAATTAAGTAGCGTCCATTCACTATTTTCTCGATATTTGTAACATTCCCCCGTTTTATATTCAGCATTTCCTCTGGCAACTCTTCACAAATCAGTTTATACAAACGTAAATCAACAGATCGAGAAAGCATGGCCAATCAACCAATAGACTAGCGTAAATGAAAGGGAGCCTTTTTAGAGGCTGTGCGTTAGACAGACTTGGTAGTACCATATATGGACATGAACCCCTTTTAAGGGGAGCCTGTAGTGACAACTTTTTAGAACTTGTTTGAATGCGACGTCTGAGAAGTTGAACAAGATCCGTTTAACATTGTTAAAAAATTAAACGTAAGTCGCCAGAATATTCTTTGTATTCGCCCCTTATATATCCTTCCTTATAATATAAATCATTTTAGTAGGCCTATCTCTTCTTTCCAAGACAAAAACTTTAACAAGCACAGACATATCGAATACTGATTCGTTTCAAAGTTTTCATGTAATCATGTACAAGACCATGTGAATCCATGATAATATAAAACCTCGGACTTCAGGTTGCAACTTCAGACTTCAGAATACAATCAACAGAGAATACATACAGGTGGGATCGGAAGATTTGCCTGCTATGTGGCCGGATCAACGTATTTTTCTCAAAACGTTAAGAAAACCACACAATATATATTTTGTTCCGTTATACAAGAATAACCTGCTCCACACAATAACCTATTTTTATAAATTTTGCGTGATCCCCCAAAGCGGACAAATTGTATTTTATCAATAACGGAGATAAAAGTATAATATAAATGGAATTGTATTTAAAGTATAAACTTTTCTTAAATATATAATACACGTATAACATTACAACTTTTTGGTACTATCTAAAACATTAACATACAACTTTGGACTATTAGCTAACATATTTACAAATTTACTTTAAAGTAACGTCTCACGTGGTTATTTAAAAAAAAATAAGATGGCATGCAAAAAAACATTTTAGATCATATGAACGAATATTTCCAAATCAAAGATAATGCATCTGAATGTCTCTGTCATATGTACATTTCATTCGAAACAGTGCTTGGGAATGAAAACTTGGCCAACATTGCCTCAATGATTAGCGAAATGTAGTTGGCACATGTTGTTTTTGACCTTTTCGTAACATTCAATATACGTTAAAAGTATATAATGGTTAAGATAGCATAATTATGATGTCACAATGTTTTCAAAATATGTCCTGAGGTATCATGTTGAGATTAAACGCATAATATAATGGCCCATAATTAGGTTGGCAAAATATGGATTACACTAACGCACTGTTTTTAATAAGCTTAGATGATAACCTGGTGTGACGCAAAAACAACTTCTAAATATGGTCATCTGCATTATTTTCATCCTGATTGCAATTGTAAATATGTTTCGTGGTTATAAGATTGCAATAGTAATTAGTTTTGTCAGTTGAACTTCACTGGACGCATGCTCTTCATAAATGGTACAAAAATATATATATATCGATATCAAGTTCTCAAGTATGGTGAGAATAAACTTCTTAACAACCAAGTGTTGTATTTGAAGTTACAGGAATACGCCTGTGTCCTATGTCGTAAATGGGTTAATGAGAAATGTCCCGTTCGACCTCATCCTAAAGATTCGCATCAGCTGCTGTAATGGTCCCGCCTGTGCCACGAGCTGGGTGGCTAGGGTTAATGCCGTATCCTTCATTCTCGTTTGTTACCATGCTGTTCATGATACCAGTATCAGATTTAGCCTCTTCTGGGTGTGAACCAGGCCCAGAAGATCCATTCTCGCCATTCACAGTTGAATAATCGTGCCACGTGTAGTCTTTTGAGTGTAAGCTTTCCATGTAAGGATTTTGGCGACGAAGGTAGTCCACGTAATATTTGCGCTTTTTCTCATTACGTTTTCTTTGCTGGATACAACAGCAAAGGACGAGACAAAGGAATGAGAGTACCCCACACCACACAAGGAGAACGAGAACAACAATGGGGTTGAGGAGGGGGCATAGGAAACCTGAACATCCCGTCTCTGACAGCGCTCCTGTAATGGAAACCCCAGTGTTAGTTGGTGAAGCAAGCATAAACATTTTACAATAACCGATTTGCCCAAAATCAATCAAAGGGGTTAGGTTAGTTCCCTATTTTTCGAAAATATCACAATCCCTTAATTTCAATTGTCTGTTAATTAGGTGTGCCAATATCGCATAAGACAACTTAACTTAATTTCATGAATTGCCACAATATCATTTTAATATATCCATTCGGCAAAATATTGCAAAAATGTAACGACGTTACAACTGATCTAGACTTTGATTGATTTTCAGTGTAGGGAAACATCCACGAGGTTATTATAAGGTTATATTATAGCTCAAATCCAGATATAATCTTCATCTTCAAAGGCTGTTATACATAATACGGTATTCGTATATTTACGTATTTATACTACGACCAGGACCTTTATCTGGATTTGGACTTATAACTTTGTTAAATCAAATGATGACGTTTAGCATGCATGCAGTTTTTGACCATAAAAGTAACCGATTTAAATCTGATGTTGGTGTGGTTTGTTTGTTAGAAGTGAACATTAGGTATTAGAATTGATGATGTGAATGTCAAATGGCATATTGGCAAATCTAGGCATTATAAATGTATAAAATGATTGTAACATTTATTTCAAAATTAATTTCGAAAGTATCAAAATGTTCACTTCTGAATGAATTGTTGAAAAAAATCTGAACACACCCCGACTGCTTACATGCAGATGCCCAGTGGCCACTCCATATAAATCAATGAATGAAACAAACTTTTTCTAGATAAGTTTTGCTATTTTGCTATGAAATGCGAAGTATAATGTAAAGTCGTGCGTGAGAGGGGCAAGTAAGATGTGCCATAAGTACTGTACGATAACTTATGATACACATATTTTGGATTTAATCACATTACAAAAGGGCATCCACAAACAAATTTACCTGTTTGAGGACCATTTCCGCCGCCATTGACGACATTACTCTCTGCAAAATGTTAAATTCATGCATAAATTATGGTATTAGGACATGCAGTGTTTTTATAAATACTTTCAAAGCGTTAGAGGTGACACAATTCGTATTATAAACATGCCACTAGTTTACCCCTTCATTAACATGCAACTAGTTCACTGCTTTGAAACATGTGTAAATGGGTTAGCAGGTAAATAGTTTACTGATTTGTAACATATGCGATAAATAATGCGTTAACAAGCAAATAGTTCACTGCTTTGTTACACATGGTGTGCATTATGTAACTAGTTCCCTGCTTTGATAAACATGTGTAAAAGCATTATCAACATGCAAATAGTTAATTGTTTTGTTAAGTTTAGATGTATTTAAATATATAATAAACATGCAATGAATCAACACTTCAGAAAAATAAAGAAATATTTTTAGAGCCCATTCATTTTACAAAACAATCAAATTGACTTATTTAAGTTGGATATAAACAGATGTGTAACGGAGATTTGAGAAATGATAATCAACATGTTACATTAGAAAGTGCACAGATAGTGAGTTAATCATGATTTTAGTAGACGGCGCATAACGATGTCTACATGATTATCTATTTAATAAAGATTAATGCGATGTGAAATATCAACATGGTGAATGGTGGAAATATCAATGTTATTTTTAAACCATCAATATATAAATAATAGATAAAAAAAATGTTTGTATGTCATTATGTTAGTAATACGAACTCATTGATTCGAGATTAGAGTTAACTCATACAAAGAATGCAGAAGAGCTAGACAATTTGATATTTGTTTGGAAAGACAATAGAACGTGACTGTCGTTCGGCACAGTAAAGCACTAAACAGCATTAAATAATGCCTGGGTCACATTTGCAACGATCCATCGGCCGGCGCCCAGCCGATTGAGTGTTTTGTTCAATATTGTATTCAATTTTGAAAAACATACTCAATCGGCCTGGCGCCGTAGTGAAAATCGGAGCAAATGTGACCAAGGCTTGTAACTGTATCGAAAATATTAAAATTAAGACAGTCCTGAGTCCACTGATTAAAATTAAGCTTATCTAATGATCTGTTTATATTAAAGATACCCGTGCAGAGTCTAGTTAATCTTCGACGAAGCTCTCTTTTAAGAAGTGAAGTCAAACGAATGCAAAGGGTATATTAAAGACAGCATTTCATTGATCGTCAAGAAGTGAAAATAGATGGCGTACAATACAACGGGTTATACTGTACATATTTTCATATAAAAGTTGCTTGTATTCAAACATACTATCAGACAAATTCCATTGACAATACCAAAAACCGATTGGTATTAAATCTTTTGATGTATGACCTAAACAGTGAAAACTAATAAGAGTTTGATGAAATGTAGAAGTATTTGCGTTGCCAATAGAACAATATTTGCACAAAGAATTATGTAACGGCAGAGACATGTCTCTGGTAACAGTAAGTGAAGAAAACAGTAATGGAACGCCATCTATGCGTCCCAATACAGAATGTGTTAGACCAAAGCAAAGATATGTGACCAAGAATGTCACAGTAGAGGTGCACCAATACGAATAAAGATGTGCCAGGTAACAGCACTGCCACTAGTTAAGTATTACATTTTGTAAAGATTTCTAAAGCAAGTAATACCTGTTGTCGGTTCTTTACCATCACCACCTGTGTTATTGTCTCCTATAATTATACAGAACCATTGTACATGTTGTAAAGTACCCATGCAAAATAACTTTTTCTATATGTAACTTAGGCTAGGATGAATACAAGATCTATAGGAGAATTATCCTCTAAACGCAGGAATCCAAACAGTCACATCATTCCGTCTTCGAGGTACGATTTCTGGATGCCTGTGTTCGGGGAATGTAGAAGGACATCCTCAACAAATCATTTATTTACACTAGCCTAAAGTACATGTAGCAAAACTTATACTCGTATATGCGAGTATTTGTTTTGTGTAAAAAGAAACCATCGATGCTGAACATTTTGCAAAGCTGCATGTGCTAATTGGCTAAATTGACAGGGTGTGAACTGCTCTTAGTATGTACCTAATGGCGGACATCTCAAGGGTACCGATGAAAAATTGTAGAAAATTAGATTTCAGTTTTTATACACAAAACAATCTATTTTTTAGTCTTGCCTCAAGCATGTGTAACCCCCCCCCCCCCCCCTGTGTACTTCACCTTCCTAACACGTACAACACATGTTGACTGTTGAAGTTGGAGTACAAAAGGTACACATTCTGAGGCAAGACTATTCATTTTTGAGCAATATCCCAAAGACTAGATTCTAACTGCTTGTCAGAGATCACGAACAAGGACAACTCATTTAGAATGTGAAAAAGCATGAGATCACACGTTACTTTAGAAGGTGAGAAAGCAGAAAATAACAAACTAAACAATAACGTTACATACAATAACGTGACATGTAGATTAGATTTTTTAAAAGGAAACAGACTTGTGAAATGTGCGCATGCGTATTAGCTTTTGGATTTTGGAACTGCCCTGTAGCTCGGACGTCATTAACGACATTCGCTGAACTGTGACTAATGGATCGTGTTAGATTAGATTATTTACCAGCATATAAAATGATGATACCACTATATATACATACCTCTAATTTACTTTGAAAATGTCCATTGTACACGTTACTATAGCAACCACTGCAGCAGGCTCCCCTCCAAGTCATTATGGTATCATCAACTTTGAGCCCGGGTTTTGAGCTTTTCAAAATGTCCACAACGGTAAAACGGTCCGCAATTTGTATATGCTCCACATAGCGATATAGCTATAGTTTTAGTTTAAAATGTCCTTTTTTAAAATATTTTTTGTTTTGTTTTCTAGAAGCATTTAAGCAACCTCTCCCATCGTTTCCCCTGCCTATGACAACTACATGAGACTGACAATTGACACCGACACATGACAACTACATGACTGTATGTGCGCGTGCATTGCGCAAATTCTGGTTAAATGCGCTCCTCAAATCCCTTGATATGTCGGATATGTTGTATGTGGTTCACGTCTGAGATTTCCGTTTTACATACTTATATAATGTAGGGTTATAATTATTAGATATTTTGCAATGCTAGATGAATGCATGTCCATGTTATTCTATAGTATAATATAAGCTTACGCATGTAAGCCGTCCCCTAAGTTCTAACATATAAGGCTACGGCCAATTCCAAAATTCTTTAACCTAACTTTTCAAGTTATAAAATGCGCAAATTAGCTACAAGGATAAAGTATAGTCTTTTATAGCAGTTTGTTTTAATTTTAATGTTTACTCTGAAGCATCTAATTAAATCTCATGACCAATTAAAACTATTACAGGCAGGTATAGGCTAGTATACATAGATGTCAAGCATGAGACAAAAACAAAAAGGAACATAGATCTATTGTATCATTATCTATTATCTAGTAGTATAAAACAAAAGGTAGGAATGATAGGTGCATATCGTCCAATTAAGAAACAAACACAAAGCGTATGGTAGCTACATACATGTGGTATTGGTTTTGGAATAATGACCAGATGGCGACAACAATCATAAAATCTCACGTTTTATCATTTGAACCGAACACTTACGATCTGGCCATTATTTCAAGTTCATCTCATTACAAGCAAGACTGATAGCTCGGCTTAATGTGCAGTTATACGGGTCAAATGGACGAAACTGTTACCGTTTGGTTACATATATATTACCAAATAATCAAGGAATATAATAATAATAGTTTTGCAGACCCTAGAGCTCAGACAGCTCAAAATGAAATTTGAATTTATTAATTTAACATGTGTTGAATATGAAGAAAGCAAAAGATAAAATAAAAACATAAACAAACACAATTAAAGAAAAGCAAAGACAAAAAGAAAGTATCTTGAAATATGAAATAGTGCTCCTCTCGAGAGCCAACACAATATATATACTTTGTCAAAAGACTTGTCGAGCATTTTCACACATTGGGTGCCGACTCGTATGTTTTGCACTTAATTCCACACGTAATCACTTTCGGTTGGATGATTCTGGAAAAACGCCCTTCCAACGTTGCGTTAGCAGTGGAGGGTGTGATAGCTAACAATCCACGAAATAGATTGCATGCATAATTATGCGTAACACATCGAGAGGACCCCCAATAGTGTTCTTAATCAAGAAATTATACAACACGTAATGGAGTTACAATTTACGAAACGCTCGACGTGATATTCCTAAGCTGAGTTGATTAAAACGAAAGTTTGATCAACCATGACGAAGCAAGAAGTTTTCATCATTGACAGACCCAGATTTCTATTATATTTCAAAGTTTTACTTACCAGTTACTCCGCCATTATTGTTGTTGTTGTTATTGTTATCGCCACCAGCGGATGTGGTTGTCTAAAATAAATGCAGTCAATAATGTACTATGAAATCATATATACAACATTTCTGGTTGTAATTTGAAATCATATATACAACATTTCTGGTTGTACTACGAAATCATATATATGCAACATTTCTGGTTGTACTATGAAATCATATATACAACATCTCTTGTTGTACTATGAAATCATATATATGCAACACTTCTGGTTGTACTATGAAATCATATATACAACATATCTGGTTGTACTATGAAATCATATATATGCAACACTTCTGGTTGGACTATGAAATCATATATACAACATTTCTGATTGTACTATGAAATCATATATACAACATTTCTGGTTGTACTACGAAATCATATATATGCAACATTTCTGGTTGTACTATGAAATCATATATACAACATCTCTGGTTGTACTATGAAATCATATATATGCAACATTTCTGGTTGTACTATGAAATCATATATACAACATCTCTGGTTGTACTATGAAAACATATATATGCAACATTTCCGGTTGTACTATGAAATCATATATACAACATTTCTGGTTGTACTATGAAAACATATATATGCAACATTTCTGGTTGTACTATGAAATCATATATACAACATCTCTGGTTGTACTATGAAAACATATATATGCAACATTTCCGGTTGTACTATGAAATCATATATACAACATTTCTGGTTGTACTATGAAATCATATATACAACATTTCTGGTTGTACTATGAAAACATATATATGCAACATTTCTGGTTGTACTATGAAATCATATATACAACATCTCTGGTTGTACTATGAAAACATATATATGCAACATTTCCGGTTGTACTATGAAATCATATATACAACATTTCCGGTTGTACTATGAAATCATATATACAACCAGTAATGTTGTACAATGAAATAACAAAAACATGGTTCATCGATTAAAAGTAATGTCTCTGGTAAATACCATGCACTTAATATACTATGATTTGATTTTTATGTTATGAAGAAACTTTCACTCAGTATCACATGCTACCACAGAGATAAGAGCATTCAATTGTACGTCTCATTCAATTGTACTTCTAATTCAACCGTACATCTCATTCAATTGTACGTCTAATTCAATTGTACTTCTAATTCAATTGTACTTCTAATTCAATTGTACTTCTAATTCAATTGTACTTCTAATTCAATTGTACTTCTAATTCAATTGTACTTCTAATTCAATTGTACTTCTAATTCAATTGTACTTCTAATTCAATTGTACTTCTAATTCAATTGTACGTCTCATTCAATTGTACGTCTAATTCAATTGTACTTCTAATTCAATTGTACTTCTAATTCAATTGTACTTCTAATTCAATTGTACTTCTAATTCAATTGTACGTCTAATTCAATTGTACTTCTAATTCAATTGTACGTCTAATTCAATTGTACTTCTAATTCAATTGTACGTCTAATTCAATTGTACTTCTAATTCAATTGTACTTCTAATTCAATTGTACTTCTAATTCAATTGTACGTCTAATTCAATTGTACGTCTTATTCAATTGTACGTCTACTTCGTTTAAAGATTTGTCGGGGCATCTCCCATTTCCAAGATAATATTCATCAAAGAGGTTTTAATGAGCCAAAGATACCCTGACAATTTCACTCGTCTAGCTGATATAGATTTTGAATGTTTTTCTTTCATAGCCGCCAATGTTAAATAGAACGACAGAATAGGACGCCTTTTCTGCCGAAAATTGCAAAGAAGAAGTGGTGGTATTGTTACTTACAGTTGTTGTTCCAGGAGTATTTGTTGTTTTTGAAACAGTGGATGTGGTTGTTGGTGCATACGTAGGCACAACCACAGCTGGCCCTTCAATGAATTTGCTGACATCTGAAAAGAGAAAAATGGATTCATGTTATGGGTCTTTGTACTTTGATGTATTCGAAGTGATAGAGGAAGGTCTATTTGTTGATTTATAATAAGGTATGTGTTCAGTAACAGTAGTTATTACATTATTTTACATTTTCGAGACAAAGAGTGCTAATTAAATTGGCAAAATAGTGGCCAGTGCTAGATTTGTCACAAACATCCTCTGTATAGACATGGACGAGGGTGCGGGAAAATGTTGAATGGAAGGGGTATCTTCCTGGTATCTAAATAAAATGTGGGATAACATACCAGTGTCGTATGTAACCTTGAACATCCAGTCCCATGGCCAGACTCCATTTTTGAATGATGATATGGTTGTGTCAACATCACTGCTGTACATATATTGTGCCTTATTCACGTTGATCGTCTTCAATGCAGGGGCCACTCCAGATGAGAGAAATCCGATTCTGTCTGTGCTTAGTACGTGCCATGGCTCCACGTCAGACGGAATTTCAATCTATAAATCACGAAAACATGTTAAAATACAATTATATAAGTGTAAGTCCCATTCAAGGTCTTTAGTCTTTAAATTCTAGCATATTTGACTTGAAATGAGTAAAAAATATTAAAAATAAGCGATTTCTTTGATTGCTGAAAAGTAAAAGAAATTCATTTGCTAATTGCTCACCGTTTGATTGGTCATTGCAGCTGTAGGCATGGCCGTCTTACTGTACGCAACATAGTAATCTCCAGCCTTCCCGGGGTGCTCTCTTAACACCATGAAAGTCACCGATTCCTCTCTCTCATAGTATGCTTCAATTTTAGTAATTACTGATCGTTTGAGTGTTAATTTATTGAGAAGAAATATCCTTCTCTCAGAACCAAAGTTCGACGGTGAATTCCCACTGGCTGAATGATATATTTCTCCAATGGTTTCAACTTGACCTGCAATGATTGAAGAACTTTTTTAAGACGTGCATGTTCATAGAAGACAGACTTGTTATGACAAATCATATTTATAACGATATGCATCGGACATCACATCTGAGATTACCTTTATTTTTTTAATATTAATGTTTTGCATGAATATTTAAATTTTAAAAATGAGTTTTGTTGAATCGGAACCCAATTTCTCTTATCTATACAAAAAGGTTTAAAGGGTTCCATTGGCGGATCCAGGTGGGGGCCTGTACCCCCCCCCCCCCCCCCCTGGGCCAACAAACAAATGATGACATTAAAGGGATACCTTTAATCTGCCAAACAGCTCCCAGTACTAACACACAATGCAACCAACCCATCTTCTGAAAATAAAATTCAAAAATTAGAGCTTCAGGTCATACCGAGGATGGATTCTGATTATCAAATTAGATAATGATAGAGCTAGTTGACTTTTTTACGATTTTAAACAAGATTGGTTGATAAATATAAATTCCAACATGTTAGTCGGATAAAATATTAGTTTTGCATGCTTTGTAATCATAAACATTATGATTTTAAGATGTATCAAAATACTAAAACATAAATGTTTGTTGTATTTATAATTGGCATAATCTTACTTATGTTTATTTGAAGGTGTTTGTAAGGTTTACACAAGATTTAACGTATTTATCTTGTGCAGTCATTATTTGTAATATGATACTTGGACGACCGGGGCCACGAAAGTGATCGACTCCTAGGCCGAAAATTTATTTATGATTTATACATGTTTACCAGATATATTTTCAAGGAGAGATCATTGAAGTGGTTGACATTTAAATGTATTCCTCAATACAAATGAATACATGATATGTGTTTTTATCAGATTAAACCTCGCCTTAAATTTAAACTACATTTTATGGTAGGCTCTTTATTGGGATGGGCAGGTGAATTTCAACAGTCAATAGCATCTCAATATTAAAGAAAGTACAGCACAAAGATTGTGAGATTCATATGTCATCTATTAATTTTAATTACAATTTAATTTAATCCTCGTCAAAACCATATAATATACACTGTGCAAAAAGCCAAATATAGTAGCGTATAAGTGGCAAACTATTTGTGAATATAGTTCAGTATGTCCTCACTATATTGTATTCGGTATGGGAAACAAACTATTCTTGCCTCAGAAGCGGAACATTTAGTATTGGTGGTATACTCTACGATACTAAATATCGTTTGAACTATTCTCCGATTATTCTTAAGAGCCATGAATAGTAGGATATAAGTACATAGAAAAGATGAGTATAGTATGTATTACGTAATCCAAAAACAAACTATACGCCTCTTATACTCGAGGCTATACATTCTTTGATGTGCCTTAATTTGCTTGGAGTTAATCCTATTTTATTTTTCAATTAAGCGCTAATGTAAACAAATAAAATCATGCATTTCACTTAAGAAAGCTTAATCAAACTTAATGTCTGAGATCTCATCTAAAATTTTATGATGTTGAAGTATATGATTTTAAATGAACTTTAAATATATTTTAAAAATGTAAGTCAATACAAAAAGTGGAATGAAAAATTTGGGTATATTTCAAATATAAATCGGTAAATTATTTATTCTCCGTTTTGAGTAAAATAAGCGCGTATTAATTTGAAGTTTGTTTTTAGTCTTACCAAAAATCAGCAGCAATTTCGGTGTAGTTAAAATTAAAATGAGGTAAAGCGTATCGTGATATCTTTGTTCTTTGTCAGTTTTAAATTGAGACAATCCTGACATCCTATATGACAGATTAGACCCCTAGTCAGGGACGGGGTTCGGAGGTTTAGAGTGAAGCCATGTGGAGGAAAATTAATTGTTGTATAATTATATGACATAAGTTGATGATGATGATGCATTTTTAAATTTTAAAAAGAAAACAATATTCAAATGTATGAAATACAATAAGGAATCAGTATAAAATCCCCGGGATTAAATATTATGAAGGATGAGGAATTGCGCTGAACGAAAACATTAGGTTACATGTACAATTTATCATAAATAATGTGCCAAATTGAACTATACTAATGCACCGAATTTAGCTTTTTAATATATTGATGAAGTTAGAGCACATCACATACTATGTCCCAAATTGAAACATACTAATGAGCCAAGTTTAACCTTTCAATGTAAGGATGTACTTTGAAAATCATAAATAATGCGCCAAATTGAACGATACTAATGCGCCAAATTGAACCTATTAATATACTGATGTACTTAAAGCACATCACATATTATATCCCAAATTGAAATATACTAATGAGCCAAGTTTAACCTTTCATTGTAAGGATGTACTTTGAACATCATAAATAATGCACCAAGTTGAACTATACTAATGCACCAAATTGAACTTTCTAATATACTGATGAACTTACAGCAATTCACATACTATGTCCCAAATTGAAACATACTCATGAGCCAAGCTTAACCTTTCAATGCAAGGATGTACTTTGAACATCATAAATAACGCGCCAAATTGAACTATGATAATGCGCCAAATTGAACTTTTTAATATACTGATGATCTCGGAGCACATCACATAGTATGTCCCATTGAAACATACTCGTCAGCCAAGTTTAACCTTTCAATGTAAGGATGTACTTTGAACATCATAAATAACGCGCCAAATTGAACTATGATAATGCGCCAAATTGAACTTTTTAATATACTGATGAACTTTGAGCACATCACATACTATGTCCCATTGAAACATACTCATGAGCCAAGTTTAACCTTTCAATGTAAGGATGTACTTTGAACATCATGAATAACGCATCAAATTGAACTATGATAATGCGCCAAATTGAACTTACTGACGAACTTAGAGCATATAGCATACTATGTCCCAGAAATCAAATTGAAACATACTCATGAGCCAAGTTTAACCGTTCAATATAATGATGTATTTTGAACATCATAAATAATGCGCCAAATTGAACTAAACCAATGCGCCAAATTGAACTTTTCAATATACTGATGAACTTAGAGCATGTCACAGACTATTCCCAAATTGAAGCATACTCATAAGCCAAGTTAAACCTTTCAATACAAGGATGAACTTTGAACATAATAAATAGCGCGCCAAATTGATCTATACTAACGCGCCAAATTGAACTTTTTAAAATACTGATGTACTTGGAGCACATGACATACTATGCCCCAAATTGAAACATACTCATGAGCCAAGTTTAATCTTTCACTGTAAGGATGAACTTTGAACATCATAAATAATGCGCCAAATTGAACTGCATGTATACTAATGTGCTAAATTGAACTTTTTAATATACTGATGTACCTGGAGCACATCACATACTATGTCTCAAATTGAAACATACTCATGAGCCTAGTTTAATCTTTCACTGTTTCTTTCAACATTTGGGTAATAACTGTGGATTAAAGGTGAAGAAAAGTCATTTATTAAAAATCAAAAAATTAACTTTTCAATGAGTTAATCGATTAATTCCAAATTTTAACACAATATTAATCATAGCAAGAGGTACACTAAAGAATCAAATAAATTAGAAAAACTTATTTGCAAATTATTTTTCTGTGGAAATCAGGACCATTGGCTGTAGATATTAATCCTTTAACCCATAACAAACAGATTAGTTATCAATGAACAAAACTCATGTCATAGAAATTAAATACTTGGGGATTTAAGTTTTTTATATGCTCTGACATGTCAATACATGTACGAGATGGTGAATAACTGCATGATCTTGAAAGAATTGTTAGTCAAAGGGAGGGGGTCGCTAGGTACGGGCCTGTAGAAAATGCGTAATATATTTAGCTGAATATTGAGCATTTTTGTGTCAAGATTGTTTTTTGTGGCTGACAAAGTTAATACAGGTGGATGTGCCTGTGAAATATAAGAGGGGGATTTAAATGACGTTTATTGTAATCTTGATGTGACAGAGAAACAATAGAGTAAACATGTGAGGAAAACTTATTAATTAAGAATTAAAAATTTATTTTTCCAATGAATTGATCAATTGAATCCAAATTTTAACACAATGTTAATCATAACATGGGGGATAATATACAATCAAATAAATATAAAAAACTTAATTTGCAAATTATTTTTTGTGGAACTTAGAATCGTTGGCTGTGGGAAATTAATCCATTGACTCTAACAAACAGATTAGTTATCAGTGTTTACTAAACTCATTTTATAGAAATTGAATAATTAGGGATTAAAGTCTTACTTATCATATTGCTCTGACATAGCTGTATGTCCATACTGTATGTTATTTGCATCAGTTTGTTCTTCCATGCACCAATTTGCTCAAAACATAATCATCAATTTGTCAGATGAAACATTTGCAATAAATGTAAAATGCGCCCGTTTCTTTCTTTGCATAATTACATTATCAACTAAACATACCGAATCTTGCACCTTTTGTATATGTATATATTGAAACGGAAAACAAAGAATGATTAATAAAACCAGCTGTTATAAACAGAAATGGTCCAATTCTAATAGAAACAATTGTATTGCACGGGCTAATCTCTGTTGTTTATCACAGGTGTTTATCTCAGATATCATATGGATAACAGAAAACACATGAATTGTGAAAGAATACAAGTTTTAACTTTGTTTTAATATGGCTTATAGTACTTGTATCATTTACATAAAGCATGTTATTTCCTAATTTATTATGTGATTTGTCAGATGAAATCTGCTAATTACATTGCTCTGACATGTCAATACATGTATGTGAATGGTGAAAAACTGCATTTTTTAAAGAATTGTTGGCCAGGGGAAGGGGGTCCTTAGGTACGGGCTTGTATAAAATGCGTAATATATTAATTGAATATTGAGCAGTTCCGTGTCAAGACTGTTTTTGGTTGGCAAAGTGAATAGTACAGGTGGTTGTTCGTACCTGAGTAAGAGGGTGATTTAAATGCTGTTTGTTGTAAACCTGATGTGACAGAGAAACAATAGAGTAAAAATGTGAGGAAGACTCATTAATTAGGAATAAAAAATTAACTTTCCAATGGATTGATCGATTGAATCCCAAATTTAACACAAACTTAATCATAACTCGAGGGACATTATACAATCAAATAAATATGTAAAAACTTAATTTGCAAATAATTTTTTTTAGAAATAAGGACCATAAGCTAGAGAAATTAGTCCTAACAAACGGATTAATTAGTGTGAATGAAACTCATTTCATAGGAATGGAATACTTAGGGATTAATGGTTCAAAAATAAACGCATATAATCCGGTTTTGATTGCAAATGCCAACATATTATTTGCTCCTGACTAGAATATTATATTCTATATTATATGGCATTATATGTTGTTCCCTTCAAATAATACACGAATAATATCAT